TACCATTTTACAATTTTGAGGGTACTTAAACCTTATAAGGAAAAAAAACAAATAAATGCATTTTTTTGTATTATCCCTACCATGAACTAGGAAGCCGCTAGGTACATCCTCAGCTCTGCTTCGTCGACCCTGGCCAAGGCACAGCGCTGGCGCGAGGCTCCTCCCGCGCCGGGGTGGGAGGTTCAGGGTTTGGGTTGTAGGGTGTAGGCTTTAGGGTTTAGGGTTTCGGGTTTCGGGTTTAGGGCTTAGGGTTGGGTTCCGGGCTGAGGGTTTAGGATGTTTATTGGGCTTATATGTAGGGTTTAGAAAGTTATGGGCGCCAGAGCGCATGACGACATTGCAATCAAGCAGCAGAGAATCTTGATTGACAGCTGAATCTCCATAATATATATATATAGATATATATATATATTTTTTTTTTGACGGATCCACCCTAATTTTCGGACACCCCCCACTCTCATAAGCTTAAGGATTCAGGGTTCGGCAGGGTTGAGATCATCAGCGTGGCACATGAGAGCCTGCGGAAGGAAGCGAAGTACCCTCAGGGCTTCAGGGCTTCAGGCGTTTCATGTAGCGTGTCATGAGTTTCAGATCTTGGGCGTCTAAGAGGGAGCGGACCCTAAACCACTCAACCCTAAACGTCCCTACAGAGGACCCTAAACCCCTAAACCCTAAACATCCCGAGACTCCCAACCCTACTGGGCCTTCATTGCAAAACACCCCCGGGGCAGGGGTTGTTACTCAGTCCTGCCGAGCTGGGCATCGAAGCGCCCCTCAGGCAGAAATTGAAAGTCATAGGGTTCTTAAGGGAGGGGGGTTCCTGGGGATTAGGTAGCTAGGGAACTCTACGGAAGCTTAGGGAGCCTTAGTGAGTGGAAGGGAGTATGAGGGAACCCTGGTTATATACCCCCCCCCTGAACCCCCCTCCCTTAAGAACTTGAACCAAAGGCAGCTTTGCATGATACTTAGACTTAGGAAACTTTCTAAATCTATCATTTTGTGAGAGAAAAAGAATATATATATATATATTTTTTCTATATACATATCTATACATATATCAGAATCCAGGACTCTAAGAGTAAAAGACTACAAGAACATCAGAGGAGAAGAATATGAAGATCTCTCAGTTTGGGCCGTTTTGGGTTTTCCTGTGCATGAGGCTCTGCATTCTAATCGGAACCCCCAAAGAGAACAGCAACCGCTACGGAGCCCGAATACGCTAGGTCCCTTGAACATCGGCCCGAAATCCTACAGCCCTAACATCCAGATCCCCGCCCCCCGAAAAATGTAGAAACCCTAAACCTAGAACCTAAACCCTAAGCCCTTTTTGCTACCCTAGAACCCTAGACCCAACTCCCACCACAACTCGAGGAATCTGGTCTTCCGTGGCGCGTCGCTGCCGCGGGGCGCGTGGCCACAGGCAGGGAAGCCCTCGGCCCTAGACCCTAAAAACCATGAACCCTGAACCCTAAACCCTAAACCCTAGAAACCTGAACCCCTGAACCACTGAGCTCCCAATTGTTGCATTGGGTTCATTTTTTTCAAGGGTCTTGTCACTGCTTGTGCAAAAAGGCCGTTGCCCTGCCACACCCTAAACTTAAGCCCCCTAAACCCCCCAAACCCTAAACCCCTAGACCCCAGAACCCTAAACATCCTGAACCCTCCCCTAAACCCCTAAACCCCCTCCACCTATGAAATCCTAGCGTGCCGAGCTGGGAGGTACTCGTGCGCATGTCCATGCTGACATCCGAAGGTGCCTTTGCAAACAGATTTGGTTTAGGGTTCGGGTTTGGTGTTTAAACCCTAATTAGTCCCTTAAATAGGGTTCAGGGTTCAGGGTTCAGGTTTTGGGCCTACCTCTTCACCCCAATTATGGACCCTTGAAAGTAGGGGGGGGTACCAATTTGGCGGAACTCCCACGTCCAGCTTGCAAGGAATGCTTTGGCCTTGGGAAAGCTCTAAACCCCAAAAACCCCAGGCCCCAAAACCCAACAGACTCTAAACCTAGACTCTATAAACCCCAAACCCTAAACCCAAAAACCCTAAACTCCAGACCCCAACCACATCGCCTGTGACGTACTTAAGGGGCTTCTAAGTGGGTCATAGCTACAGCTGCACATACAATTGGGTTGTAAGTACCCTGAACCCACCACCACGGACCACCACCACGGACCACCACCACGGACCACCACCACCACGGACCACACGGACCACCACCACGGGACCACACCACGGGACCACCACCACAGGACCACCACCACGGCCACGGGACCACCACCACGGGACCACCACCACGGACTACCACAACAAACCACCACAACAAACCACCACAACAAACCACCACCACCCACCACCACAACAAACCACCACAACAAACCACCACCACCACCCACCACCACCACCACCACCACGTCTGAACCCTTTAAACCCTAAACCCCAGACCTAGTTATAAAGTACCCTGAACCCTCCAAGAAGGCCTTCCACCCAACGCCGTGATCCTGGGCTCCGGCGCGGGGTCCTGCGCCAAGCAGGGCGCAACCTGGCAGGGCTTTGGGGCTCTTGGGCTTTTGGTGTTTTGGGGTTTTGGGGGTTTGGGTTTGTGGTTTTAGGGTTTAGGGTTTAGAGTCTGCAGAGTAGCAACCGTCAGGAAACAGAGGCCACGTTCACCGGGAAAGTTTCGGAAACACCCGGGGGCAGAACAGCCAGGCAACAGTCGGCAAACAGCACGGAGACCAGCGGGAAACGAGAACACACCGAAGCATTAGGGTTTAGGGTTTGGGTTTAGGGTTTTTCCTGAATGTGGCGGGGCTGCTTTCTGACTGTGTCTGTGCTGTTTCCTGAATGCCGCTGTGCTGTTCCGACTTTGTTTCCTGACAGTGGCCGCGCCGTCTGCCTCTGGGGTTAGAGTCTACTGCGTTTGGCAGGTTTGGGTTTAGATCTACAGATTTTCGGCCTACAGGATTTAGAGCTTGGGGCCTCGGGATCTGCAGGAATGTGCGGGGTCGCTGGGTTGTTGTTTTTTTGGACATCTGATGTTGCAGGACAGTCCAAGGGCGCACGGTCCTAGCCGCGGTAGGATCCCGGGGGCCCTCAACTCCCCAAAACTCCCCAAAAAACACTGGTGCGGGGGGCGGGGGGGTGGTTAGGGCTTACGGGTTTAGGGTTTCAGGTTCTTCGGGGTTCCCTGTAGTAGGGAAGAGGTGTCAAGGGGAGTGCCAGACATCACGAGCTCTTACCCAGGAGTGGGTGAGAGCACATCTTCTCCTTTGGCGCTACCTAGGCGGCTCTCCTTACGTGTTTTGAACTTCGAGTCTTCAGGGTTTAGGGTTTAGGGGCAGCCCACGCAACCCCCCCCCGAAACCTTTCGAACCCCTATAGACCCCAAAAGGCCCCTAAAGCCCTGAAAGCAACCAACGCAAAGAAAAGTAGACTTGCCCGGATTCCCAAGACGAAAACGGCCAGTTCGCGGTAGGTTCCCTAAGATTCCTCTTTTTTTTAGGTGCGGCCATTTGCAGACGTGCCCTTACTCAAAACGCGCCTTCTCCCCAACATATCAAACCCCCGAAAAACACTGGGCCAACCTCATTTAGAAACCTCGAGGCAGCGTTGACTTGGAGGTTCATGCTCAAAACCGTATATAGGGCACCTTTAAGCCTGCTTATACGTACCCCTTCAAGCAGGGTTTAGTATTGAAGGCTTTTCGATCTCCTGCCCCCCCACCCCCCCCCCGCTCCCAGTGTGAGCAACAATTTCGCCTTCAAGGTGGTTGATGTTATGGCAAGGGGGGAGTGGGCCTTTTTGGGGCCCTGAAGCGCAGAAACCCGAAGCCTTTAAGCCCGTTGCACCCTTTAAACTCTGAACACTCTTTAAACCCTCTAACCCTTTCAGCCCTTAGAACCCTTTAACCCCTTCAAAGAACTTCACCCCCTTTGAACTCTTTGAACCCTTTAAACCCTTCGGAGCCAAAACTCGAATTAGGTATTTTGAGGGCCCGTGCAAAAGCAGAAATGGCGAGGCCTAGGCCCACGTTTCGACATTGTGGCCGCGAATGCGGGTTTGGGCGGGGCCCGCTCTGGGTGGGGCTCCTTTTGGAGGATTTACTTGAAGGTTCACGGGTACCTATAAGTGCTATAAGCGTCCTAAATGGGTTTTCAAGCGGGGTGTAGCTGATAAGGGTCAGAGAGATCACGTCCGACCAAGCGGGGGCTTTCTGATTAGGCCTTGTTGGGGTGGGGGGGGGGGACCTTGTGTCAGGTTAGGTTTGTGTTTTTTTGGCAGTTGGGTCTCTGGTGGTTCTTTCGTTCAAATTTCTTGGGCCTGAGCCAACAACTCCAGCTTGCAGGCGAAGTTCTAAGTTGCTGTCGAGGTCTGGGTGGGGCGATCGAAGGTCCAAACCCATGTGCAGGGAGAATTTGAGGCTGTAGGGTTTAGCGACAAGCCTTTGCGAATGAGTCGCCATGTATTCGCGAACCTAGACTCCAACTGCTGAGCCCTTAACCTCAAAACCTGAAACCCTTACACCTTCAGCCCTAAACCCCCTAAACCTTACATGAAGCAGATGTCAGGCCACGACTGGCGCGGTGCCCTGGCCCTGAGCTGCCTCTGGGCAGCCAAGGGCCTGGATAGAAGTGCTGCCACGTGCGCATCGCCCACTTTCAGTTCAAAGACTAGGTACAGTAGGCCCTTGGGAGATTACATTTTTCCCCTATTTGGGTTTAAGCGGACCATATTCAGGAACAATTTTCAGAGGGTTTTAGGGGCTATCCTAGAAGACAATCACCCAGCCTGCGGTGTTAAGTCTGCAAAGCAAACATGCGCCAGGATTCCTCGGAGTGCGTCAGCCTGTGTCTTTGGATTTGTGTTTGGCGTTTAAACACCTCCAGTTGAGACCGAAGCCCCGCATTTAGGGCTTTAGGGGTGTATAGGGTTTAGGGTGGTTTGGGATTTAGGGTTCGGGCTTTAGGGTTCAGCTCCGAAACTTCGAGGTGTTGAAGTGACAGGTACGGCGCCCTGATTGGCGCTTGCGAGGCTCCTGGTCGTTGGCAAGAATCGCTCGAGCTTCCCGGCATCCACACTGGCTATACATGGGTTCCGGGTACAGACACAGACACACGCGCGTGCTTGTATGTTATATTAAGAAGGCCAAGCCTTAAACCCTAAACCCTCAACCCTCAACCCTGAACCCTAAACCCTAAACCCTAAACCCTAAACCCTAAACCCAGGCTTTCGGGCCGCAGGATGAACTTACAATCCCAGAGGGCCCTTGTTTTGCAGCCTGAGCACCACCCAAGCCTTAGGCGTTTGTTGGGGCTCTTGGGGGAGCCCTACTTGGAGGTTCGTGGGATACTTGTAACCCAGCTAAAAATTGTAATTGTGTAACCATGAAGCTTCAAGTGCTTTCCCTGTGGAAGCAAGAGCCTCCTCTGGAAGCGTACAGCCCTTTAAGCCCTAAGTCCTCCGAAGCACCTTGCAATGGAGGCTCCTCCGGCAAGCGGAACGATGCGGCGCGGCCGACTGGCACCTGGCCCACGATTTCATCTTGAAAGCTGGGGTTTCTGCAACTACCTGTACTCGTTTGCGGGGGCTAGAAATTGGGATTGCGTTTGGGCTTAGGAAGTGACAACCTACAAACCCAGCAAATCCGACATGACCTTCGCCGCATCTCCCGCCTCAGGATCAGCTGCCAGTCGGCCATAACCACCTGCGCATATGCCGAGCGTGAGCACAACAAAGGAAGCGCATCTTGATTCTGGAAAGGTTCTTGAGAAACTTTCGGTCGTTGAAGGATCCTAAGCTCACGTACTCTCCTGCTGCAAGCGGAGGTCCGAGAATCGTGAACTCTTGTACTGTGAAGGAGGCAAGTGCACTGGTTCTGAATTAGTAGGGAATGAGGGAATTAGGGCCGCTAAGGGATTACATAGGGCCCTAATTCCCTCATTCCCTACTAAGAACCAAAGTGGTCGCGTGGAGCGCAATCGGCGAAATCTGTTTGCACCCCGCGCCCTACCCCCCGCGCCCGCCCTCTGCAATAGGGGTGACAGGTCTTTATGAACACCCATTGGTTTTTCCGGGATAGATTCAGGGCTCTGGGATTATAGGGCCCAGTGTTCTTAAGGCTGATGGAGTTTAGGGTGTCTGGGCTGGCTGAGACGTCTTTGCTACACCTCGAAGCCCTCTACACCAGCCATGCACGCTGCTGCGCCGAGTCCACCTTTTCGGCTTTATGACAGTTGACTAGGTTGTGCTAAGCTGAGCACGGCAGAGAATGAGCTGTCCTGTCCAAGCACGGAGACTAGAGATCATACAGAGCTGGCTGCTCTTTCTGCGAGATGCTGACCTGAAGCTGTCCGCAAGCTTACGTTGCAATACGCCGCATGTCCAATACCCGCAAACAAGGTGAAACGACAACAGGAGCGGGAGCAAGAGAGAGAGAGAGAGAGAGAGAGACAGAGAGAGAGAGAGAGAGTGAGAGCGCGAGGGACACACACACACACAGAGACAAACAAACAAGCAACAAGACAACAACGACTGAATACTAGCCTCTTCATGAATTCACATGAAGTCTACTCAAACAAGCCCTTAACTCTGCAACGTTGGAGACCCTTGCTGAAGTACGGTTTAGTGTTTAGGCTGCTGACGAACCTAACTCCCTGTTGGCCTTCGAGCTGCCATGGTGGCCAACCAGCTTTTCGGTGGGGGCCCGGGCCCTGGAAGCACATCATAATCCCCTCCCCCTAAAATTAACCGCGAGGGGATTCGGTTGCTGTAAACTCTCGAAGGTCCTGTAGTCCTTAACAATACTACAGCAGAGTCCCAATCACGATCCCTTGATTCGGGGGCATGGCGCCAAGTAAGACCTGGGTCCCAGGGCTTTACTAAACCCTAATTAAACCGTAAAACCCTGAACCCTAAACCCTAAACCCTAAACCCTAAAGCGGAGGCCGCCCTTCTCCCTCGCCGCATCGGCGCGTCTGCCGCGCATCGAGCCAGGCGGCTGGTTGCCGGGAAGAAGGTCTCAAGGCTTCCGGGTGATTCAGCATTGTAAGTTAGGGTTTGGGTTTAGGGCTTAGGGTTTAGGGTTCAGGGCTTAGGGTTTAGGGTTTGGGGTTTGGGGTTTGGGGTTTGGGGTTTGTTCTGTCTGGAAGGTGTTGGGCTTCTGTTGGAGGTTTGTTGTGTGTGGGTGGGGGGGGGGAGGGGCGTGGTCTGTCGTGCTTGTAGGACAGTGCCGATAGCACCTTGCAGTCTTTGGAGTCAAGGCTAGGGTTTAGGGACCCTAAACCCTGAACCCCCTAAAACCCCTAAACCCCGTAAACCCCCTAAACCCCCTAAACCCCCTAAACCCTAAACCGGAAGCAGTTCAAGGCCAGGGTTTAGTTGCAACTGCTGAACTGAACCTCTCTGTCCAGGAGGCGTCGCCGTCCCTTCGGCGGCCAAAGAAGAAGAAGTCCAAGAAGGCCGACAGTACCAATTAGGAATTAGAAAGCATACCCTTGACATTCTTTCGCACCACCGAACCTATTATATCACATAATAGTCAAGCACGGCTGGCAACTTACCCCAAAATCCTTTTCGAACCCTTCACGAGCCAGACTCTGAAGTCTAGAGAGCAGTTTAGGGTTTTAGGGTTTAGGGTTTTAGGGTTTAGGGTTGGGGGTTTAGGCCCAAGAGAGTCAGGCAGAGGAGGAGGAGTTGCGACGAGCTGCCGCCCAGGCAGCAGTGGCACAGGCACACTTGGAATTTGGGCGACCTTGGGGACCAGGGTGAGTTGCTTGTTTCCGAATCTCTTCGTCTTGTGTCCTGGGCTGTCTCTTACTCACAGACATCGGTGTCTTCTCATTTGTCTTCTGTGGCTTCGGCGCTTCAGAGAGCCTGGGGCTTTGCATTGGGTTTGCCCCCGGGGTGTCTGTTGCAGCAGTAGTCTCAGAGATTTAGGGGTGCGAGGATGTCGTTGCATGGCCGCAATCACCCAAATTCACAGCTTGCTTACCGTTTCATCTTCTTCGTGGGCTCAAAGAGCTATGCTCCAGACAATGCAGGATCGCGATCTTAACCCGCCTGTGGCCCAGACAGAAACCTCTCACCCTCCCCAGCGCTTCAAGAGATGCGAGTCCCCCACCAAAGACCGGCCGCTCAGGGTTTTCAAGGGTCCTTAAGGGGTTCGAAGAGGTCTTGTGAACAAGGGTTCTAAGGCTTAAGAGCTTTCGGGTCCAACCTGAGAGTGGACCCTTGCAGCCTTTCAACGCCCACATGGGGCTGCGAGTCTTCTGGCGCCCTCCGGTTTGCCGCCCAGTGCGCCGTGCCCTTGCCGAACGCAGCGGAGGCGCCGGTTCTGCTTTTGGGACTATGGGGCCAGTTGAGGACACTGGACATAGGATGGGTCTTTGTGCACATAGAGTTGAAGGTTTGGGGTTGGTTTAGGGTTTTCGGCTGTTCTGGTAGGGCATTCTGAGATATCTTGCCCTGCTTTGCTCCAGAGGTAGGGCCTGTGGCGATTGCGGAGCGTCTGCGTCGTATCTGTTAAGGGTGTAGGTTGTGGGGCTTAGGGCTTCGGAGATGCCATAGGTTCCAAGCACTGGAGAAGCAAAGCAGAATCAAAAGCATGGAGCACCCTAAATCCTCATCTCTACAGAAAGCCCCCCTAAACAACCCTAAACCCTGCACCACAGGGCTTGTAGCCAGATAAGGGTTCAGTCATGTGGCATCAGAGATGTAAAGCCGGCATCCTGCCAGAACATGGGAGCTGGTTTAAACATGTGGGCACCTTTTTTCACACCTCAAGCCTGGAGTTAATGCTAAACCCCGAGCCCAAGCATGTTCGAGCTGCTAGCACTTCCACACTGGACGTAGGCGTCCGGGTTTACAGCTTATAGTGGACTAGGTTTGTAAGTTTAGGGCTTAGGGCTTGCATGGCTTGTTTTGGAAGGTTTAGGCTTTAGAGTTTACAAGGTTTAGGGTTTCAGGTTGAACCATAGGGTCTCGGCAATGGTCTAGAAGTTTCCGAGCTACAGAGGTCTGGCAGCATTGAACAGATCCTCTCCGGCACCCTCGGCGAGGACATTGGCCTCTAACTCTGAATCGAACCCTAAACTGGGTCATGGTTGAAAATCATTTTACATTTTATGAATACCTTAGCCCAATAAGGAACAAAAAATGCCACGGGCCGTCAAGCTTGAGATGTTCGTGGGCCAGTCTGATGCCGAAAGCCCAGGATCGAGGTACTAGCACGGTGAGTTTGGGGGTGGGGATGTTCCCCCTCATACCAACAGCCCGAGATAGGGATTGCAATAGGGGGTACTATAATCCCAAAGAAGGACTATTCGTATAAGGGGAGTTTGGGGAATTGAGGGCATTTCCTTGGCCTCATAACTGCCAAGTTTCATGCCCGCAGTCCCGACATCAACAGAAGCACGTACATGTTACTGGCCAGATGAAAGTTAACCCTTGTACAAACGTAGATGCCCTGCAAAATCGACCCCAAAGACGCTTGTTTGCTAGCAACATCCACACTGTTTGCCTAACGCTCCACCACCTGAGGGTTAGGTTGATTGTAAGTGGGGGTCTCCTTTTTCTTGGGACATCCTAGAAAGAAAGGGCCCGTCGCCCCTATTCGTGATTTCCGGGTTCGCGCTGGTCCACTTAGGGCTCAAGGGGGATGGCTTTTTGCTTTTGAGCCCAACGCCCTGAAACCTGTATAGGGTTTAGGGTTGGTTTAGGGTGAAAAACCCCCTAAACCCCCTGAACTCCGGGATGCAGGACATACCAGGTGCTGGTGGCAGCCGGAGTGGCCGGGTCTGTGTCAGCGGCAACCTTCTACGGCCGAGTCAGCCCCTGCTCAGCACAATTTGGGGGGTTAAATGGTTGGGGGCTTGGGGTTTTAGAGTTTTGGTGTCCTAAACTCAAAGCCCTGAACCCGTAAACCTACACCCACGCCCTTCGTTTAGGGGCACTCAGGGTTCGCACCTGAACCCCTTGACTGCGACAAGTCCAGAGTAAAGTGCGTAGCTGTCGAGGGCGCGGTACTTAACTAAATCCTCAACCTTAACCCAGAAACACATGTTTCTCTGATCCGTCCGCCGAGGGATTGGCATGTCTTTCTGTCGCTTCATATGCAGACGGGAAGCAATTCCTTCCATCCTATGCTCCAAACATCACAAGTTGCACACGAGAGAGAGAGAGAGGGAGTTAGAGCGAGAGAGAGAGAGAGATAGGGAGGGAGAGAGAGAGAGAGAGAGAGAGTGAGAGAGAGCGAGAGAGCAAAAGAGCGAGAGAGCGACAGAGAAAGAGACAGACTAAGCGTTTGACCAAGTCTTTGCGTTTTGTAGAAGTGACTGACTCGACTTTTCGTAAGCCTAAACAGCATCGGCGAAGTTGCTGAGGTGATGATCCAGATGAGAGGGCTTCCTGGCAGCATGCTCTTGGAGCTCGTCCGGATCGCTGTAGTATATTATTGAAGTAGTCAAGCACTGGCCCTATCACCTATGAAGCCACAAAACCCACGAGATTGGAGATGGCTACTTACAGGCTTTGTGTTGGGATTTCACACTTATATGTTGATGTTGCGTGCATATATATATATATATGTGCACATATGGTACCCCTCCCTGGGGGGGGGGGGGGGGGGGGGGGGGGAAATATACACAGGTATATATGGATGTATAAGTACATAAATAAAGGTCTAAGCAAGACAACTAGGACACCAGCAAAAGCTAAGTAGGATACCGATTTAAGCCAGCTTGTCCTTCAAGGCGAGGAGAGGGAAAAAGACCAAAACCCAAGCTAAACAAATCACAGCCCACAGTAAAAAGAAAATCCTCCCCCCCGCCCCCAACCATCAAGATGGCAGAGGCTTAAGACAAAACAGAAGATTGTTTTACTAGCAGTGCAACTCATGTTCTTCCCCCCCTTTCTTTATCCCCTTCCCCTGTGTTTTTTTTCCACCCCCCCCCCCCCCCTCCACATGCCACAAACCTCAGGAGGCAAGCTGTGACTAATTAGTTGCTAATGGTTCAAAATGGCATAAGTATTTTTTGAAACACTAGAACACAGTACAAAATTGTTCTTGGGAGAGTGGCAAATCACTCTCCCCAGACTCAAAATCCGTTGGAAAACTCAAGATCACTGCCAGCATCCCAAAAAAAGAACCCCCCCTCAAAGAATAGACTTCAAACCTTACACTGTAAACGGTTGGACTTCAGGATTTCTCGGCTGTTTGGGGTTTGAGGGGGGCCCGCGAGTGAATTTACACTGGGCGCTTGAACACACCATGAAGTACAATATTCATACTGTTCACACGACTCTTTCACTTCGCTCATTCACTCACTTCGTTTGTTCGCTCAGGCAATTAACCTCATAAACTCGCTTGTTCATTCTCTTCGTAGTACTTTCCTAGTGGGAAAATTCTTGAACTCCGTGAACTCCTGTAAACGCCCAAATTATATAATCAATTACACGCGAATTTGCTTGCCATTCAATGTACTTTAAACCCTCAGCCCTAAACCTTAAGCCGTAAATAAACAGCAGCAGCGAGCTGCATGCTCTGCTGAGCAATAATTAAACCCTAAACAACCTTTCTAAACCCATTGAAGCTCCCAGCTTCAACAGCTGGTTTACGTTTTGTTAGGGTTTTGAGTTTTCGGGTTTTTAGTTGTTAGGCTTGGGTTTGCGCTTTACAGTCCTGCAGTCTTTCAGTGCCTAAACTTTTCAAAGGCCTGAATACCAATGAAGTCCACCGAGGAAGCAGGAGCATGGGTTCTTCTGCAGCAAAGGTGAGAACTATGTGTGACAGCAGCCACGGGACAGTGCCACTTGCTGCAGTTTAGATTTCAGGTCAAGAGGGTTCATTCTAGGGTGGTGGTCTCAGGGTTTGTGGGGTATAGGGGTAAGGATTAATTGGGCTCCGATAGTTAGATTTCATCCTGCTTGCTGAGTCGCAGTTCAACCCCGACTACGCTGAGGGAGGTGATGAGGCCAAATAGGGGAAACAGCGCTCGCACATGTCACTTGGCTGTCAATTATTCTATCACGCACGTATGACTAGATGATCATTCACTATGTTATGATGCAATCAGCCGAGGGAGGTGGGCAAGTGGAGCTTGGACCGCGTGGAGCCACAGGCCGCCAAAGGAAGGCTTTCATTTTGGAGATGTCAGGGGCTTGGTACATACTTGGTACTTGTGAAGCACAATAACCTGTGACGTTAACCTGCCACTTTTTTCCTTGCTCAGGAGCCGCGAGCCAGGCGGCGATTCCTCACGACGTCCCAGTCTGACACTCATGGTCTTGATGCACAGATTGACGCAGGGCTCGGGTAGCTGTACCGTGACCGCATGCCACAGGAGCTTCTGCCTGTTGTGAGATTTGCGCAGTGCATTTCCTGTGGACACAAGTCCCTTCTTCCCCGGTCATACGCAGCGTGCACTGCAGGTTACTATTGCTGCGGCAACAGTCGTGCAGTCTGCAGTCTTTGAATTTCTTTGAGTATTAGTAGATGATTAGTCGTTGTGTGAATGCGGTTGATCCTGCAACTGCTGCAACGCGTAGCCGAAGTGAAGCCTGCCAACATTTTTGGTTCCTCGTGAACCACGCCGTGGAACTCACATGCCTGGGTCTGAACAAAAGACTTGCGTCCGATTGCAGCGCGTCTGCAGATTTTTGCGCGCCGCCTTAAACCCTGCATTAAACCCTAAAGTACACCCTAAATCCTGAATCTACTTCTTGCAGGGTGCTGGCGCTGGCCACGCGCCGCCATTCGTGTTGCAACACTTGAGGTTGAGCGGGGTGGGCCTGGGATGTTAGGAATTGACCGTAGATGGGCTGGGTTCCGAAAGTCCCAAGCCTTAAACTCCGACTTCTCCTCCTCCGCAGGCTCCTTGCAGCCGTGGTGCAGAAGGCGCCGTCTAGAAGTTTAGGGGGGGGAGGGGGGGGGTGGGGCTTGAGTGGACTACAAGCTCGGGGTTTTCGGGATTCTGGTTTTGGACAAAGGGTCTCGAAAACAAGGAGCATCCAGTCCGATGGTGTGGATCGAGCAGCAGATGGAGAAGTCACACATCAAGAGATACTTCGCAACAGTCGCGCTCACCAACTCTGGCAGCCAGTCAACCCTGCCAGGGACTTCTCCGGTGACACCCAGGGATTTCCGTAACGTGCCCAAGAGAAAGTGGGAGAAGACATTCGCCATGCACAAGCAGAAGAGAAGCTTCGTCAGTACGCAGCTGTTTCTGATTGCTGTCTTGCAGTCCTATTTACTGTCTTGCAGTCCTATATCTAGAATCATGCTAGTACTACACACTGGCCCTAAAGATTCAATATCCCAAGTGGGACTGCAAGACGGTCAGACTGTGTGAAGACTGCAGGCATAGATAGAAGTTGCAGCAGTTCCGGTCAGAGGCACGCGCAGAGACCTTCGGGCCAGAGACTACACGGCAGAGTGCCAAGCAAGACTCAATAATTCAGCAGTCATCAGTCTTGCAGTCCTGCAGTCCTACAGCCCCACATAATTAGTGGGCCAAAACAAGTCTTGTAATTGGACTGCAGGACTGCCAGACTGGGATTACGAGACACATGCCAGTGTTGCGCAAAAGTGCTGCAAGTTATAAGGGAGAGGCGTTGGGTTTTTAATTTAGTTTTAGGATTTCGGGCTAGGTCTAGGGTTCTGGGGTCAGGGAAGGGTTTTCGGTTGTTCGTTCTGAAGTTCGGAGGGTGCCTGAGGGTTCGAAACCCTAAACTCGAAACCCTGAACTCTAAGCCCTAAGCTTCCCTAAACCCTGGTGTGCCTGTTAAGGTTTCGAAACCCTAAACGTGAAACCCTGAACTCTAAACCCAAAAGGTTGATAAGTAAGGTTTAGGGCTGTTTTATGGGTTTGTGCCGTAAGGTTTTTTTGCTCTCAAGAAGGCTCAAACCAGGCTCACGGATACCTTCTGCTGGTGTTCCTAGTTGTGTTGCCGAGACTTCAAAAACATACACAAATCAAATAATTGAGTGTATATATATATATATATAGATATATGATGTCCTTGTGTGCATGTGCGACTGTGCCTCCACGCGTGTGGCAGAAGCTGGGAAGATCTGCGGAGGGAGAGCTTTTGTTGCATGTATTGTATCCTCCTCTTCGCATCTACTCAATAGTCAGCCTAACTCTCGGTTTCAATATAGCCTAAACCCCGAAAGCCCTCCAAAACCTTTAAGATTTGAATGGCCTTAAGCCCTAGACCGTAAGCCCATCTAAGTTCCGGTTGTGAAGCCTCCTTGAGAATCCTGCGCCTGACAACCTGTTCTTCGCAATTTGGTCCTGGGGGAGGCAGAAAGGAGGGGTTAGGGTTATGGTTAGCTGGTGGGGTTCATTAGCATCGCAACACCCCAGCCCCCCGCCGCCCCCCCCCAGGCCCCCCCCCCCGCGCAGCCCCCCACCCCAGCCTCCCGTAACCGGACCCTGATGTCGGATGACCCCCACATTACTACGGGTTCAGGGCTCATGGGTTCAGAGTTTGAGGCTTCGGGTTTTAACTTGCCCGAACTAAACCCCAAACCCCATTTTTGCCTTAATTAGGGGCCCATCTTAAAGGGCACTTGGCCGTGGGAGCCCCTAAAACCCTAAACCCTACGCCCCAATTTGCTTTCCTTGAAGGTTTGGGTGAGCCGCCGCGGCCCTTTAGCCGTGGATGCCCACCGGGCCGTGGTATTGGCCCCCCTGGCTCCCTGACTTAGGGTTTAGGGCTTAGGGGGTTCAGGGTTTAGGGTTTAGGGTTCAGGGTTCAGGGGTTTATTATAGCATTTCGAGGGCTTGCATCGAGCTTATGCGTTCAATTGGGGTTGATACTGTAGGATTCTAAGGGGTGACCAGGGATGGAAGTTGGAGGGGTTTCAGGGTTTAGCCTGTAGGCTGGAAGAGGCTAAATGTAGGGTTTCATGGTTTCATTGGAGGTTCAGGGTTTAGAGTTCAAATGGTACCTCAACCCTGATGCTACGTCCCTCTTCGGGTTGAGGGATTGGGGCTTATATGGTTTAGGAGTATAGGGGTTCGGGTTTAGGGATACTAGGTCCGCCCAAGCTTGTGTTATAAGGGAGGATCTGAAAGGTTGTCTTGAATGAAGCCAGATCTTGAAGCCCGCAAACACCTGAACCCAGAGAGACCAAACACGCCTAAGCCCTACTTTACCCCCACAACCTGCACCCCGAAACACGAAACCCTAAACCCTAAAACCTAAACCCCTTCTGTATACATGCGTTGGTGTTGGTGTCTTGATTTTAGACCCTAAACCCTAAACCCTAAACCCTAAACCCTAAACCCTAAACCCTAAACCCTAAACCCTAAACCCTAAACCCTAAACCCTCCAGACCTGAACGCTTACTTATGCGCAACACCTTTTCTCATGAGCACCCTGAAGGCTTTGGCGTGTCTAAGGAGTTCTAAGACTTCAAAACCTTGCCCTGCGCCCCAAGCCTCTATAGCCCTGACTTTAACATCTAGACTGCCTGCTAGGTAGGACCTTGGGACACTGATTTTGTTCCTTTTTGGGTGCCTTTTTAAGGGGTTTCAATGGAGCCCCAAAATCTCGAGCCCTCAACCCTCAACCCCAAAAAGGGTGAAGAGGGCTCATAGGGCTTCTAGGGCTTCTAGGGTGTCTAGGGCTTGTAGGGTTCAGAGGCTTTACAGGGTTTTAGGCCTTCTCCCAAACCTCACAAGAGGTCGCTTGCTTGGGCAGCGGCGCGGTGGCGGCCCTCGTCACGCGCAGCGCGACCCACGCCGTGACCTGGCAGCCGAAAGCCCGTCAACTCAACGAGGCCTTGAGACCTTTTGTACTTCTACATGCTTCTGTTTCTGTCTACGTACGTGCATATGTGCACATAGGTATACACTTGTTGGTTCATTTACTTGGAGACTTGTGTATGGTCAGCAATGAGATGCAGATTGAGGACAATATCTTGCGAAAACTCAACACAATAACAACATCAACAGAAGGAGCAACAACAATAGCTACAAGCAGTATGGGGTGTAGAGGGCTTCTGGGCGACAATCTTGGGCCGCGGTTGTTTCTTCTCGATGCCTCTTGTACTCGACGACAGCTGCTGCTCAGTTTAGGGATTGATGCGAGAGGATTACTTCAGTCAGGAACCTAGATGATTACCAATGCCATCCCCATATAACCCCCATCTATGTTTCAAAGCAACCCAACTACCCAAGCTGTGGTTTCGAGTTTAGCCATATCGGGTTTAGAGTTGCATTTCGCCTTCTCAGGATCTTGTTGCCCTAAACCCTAGAACCTAGTCCCCAAACCCCAAACCCTAAATCCTAAAGCCTCAAGCCGGGGCTGAGGCGAGATGCCGGCTGCCGCCTGTTCTTCATGAGCTCACGGCCCTGCCTTTGAGCCTCTCTGCCAGAGATGCAGGGAATGTGGGATTTAGGAGAGTTCAGGCCTGGACTTTTTTACGGTTTAGGGTGCAGGGTTCGGGGTTTGCAATCAGGGTTTTTGGGGGGTCAGGGTTCAGCGTTCGGGTGTGCGGTGTTGTTGTTTTCTGCTGCCTTCTATCACGGCGAGCTGGTCTTCCACTCAGGGTAGGGCGGCGCTGCGAGCACACGAAGAGTGTTAGAATGTCTTCCTCTCCTGATGGCTTGGGGTTTAGGGCTTAGGGTTTAGGGATTAGGGTTTAGGGTTCAGGGTTTATAGGGTTTAGGGTTTATAAGGATTAGGGTTTACAGGGTTAAAGGTTAAGGGTTTAGGGTTTGGGGTTTCCTTTGGAGGAAACCTTAGACATGCAGAGGGGAGTTGCGGGCTCTGGTGACCTTAAGGTCTGGTGGAAAGATCAGGGCCCTTTGTGATCACAGACCTCTGCAGAGTTGATAAGATAGAGTTTAGAGCGTAGCGTGTAGGGATTAGGGTTTAGGGTATAGAGCCCTGGAAAAGACAACCAATGAGCGTGGCTGCACATAGATTGCACAAAGGGACGTAGAACTTGCGACCCGGCAGAGTTCTCCGGGCCAAAGGTTGCGCCATGCTCTACTAGAGTTAGGTGGCTCATGGCCCAATTGGATCAAATATGCTTATTCACCTCATTCTGCCGCCTCTGTGCGCCCTTTGGAAAGCCCTCCTAGAAGTTGCCGAGGTATTCTGCTGGCCTTTCGGCACCTCGGTGGCGCCGTTCATCATTTGTCGACATGCAGCGGAAATAGGAAGAAGGCCCCGACAGCTTGTAAACCCTAATCCCTCAACCCTCAAGACAACATCAATAGAACACGTATGTGAAAAACCTTAAATTTTCGGAAACCCCTGTATTCGCTCAAACCTTCGGGTCGAACCTTTCGGCCAGAACTTTTGGTCAAAACTCTTCGGGACCCAAATTATGCAGTTTCTAGACAGCAGATTACAAAGGGTGGTTGCCCGGCGCGGTCCAGCAAGTCCTAATCAGCCCAACATCTCAGATCTTGGTCGAAACCCTCGAAATCGCCAGGAACCTTAGAGGCCCGAACATCCCTGAAAGCGATAAAAACCCCCTAAGCCCTAAACCCTAAAACCTGGCGCTTTTGAACCTAGGTTTCAGGTCTCCCACGAAAGATGGTGGACTTCGAGGTGGGCGCTAGGGGGGGAGGGGACTCCTGGGGTGATGGGTTGAGGCAGGGGGGGAAATGGTTTAGGGTTTCGGGTTTGGGGTTTAGGGTTTAGGGTTTAGGGTTTAGGGTTCCGTCTGGTGGGTTCGTTTTGTGCTTTTTTGTTGGGGGGGGGGGGGGGTGTGATGTGATGCGTTATCCGACACAAACCCCAAACCCCAAACCCTAAACGACCCCTAAACCTTGAGACGTTCTCCCTTTTTCTAGGGGGTACTGCAATCCCTATAAAGGACAGGGGGAACATATCAACCTAAACCCCATAAACCCCTGCCCTGAACCCCATGTCCATACCACATGCCCTAAAACCCCAAGACGCTCTGCGCCCAGGCAGCACCTCCAGGAAATCTCAGGTGACGTCGAGGCATCCGGGTCTGTGTGCAGTACCGTTATGGAAGTAAGGTTTCGGGGTCAGATGACAGAATGAGTGCGGGTTTATGCTTTTCAGCGTCTTAAGGTGGAAGTCTTGAGGGTTTTGGGTTTACAGGTCTTAAGACTGTTGGGGCTTTACATATGTCCTTTTCGGGATTGTAGCGTTCCAGTTCTTAAGGCTGCAGAGGCACAGGGTTTGATGCTTCCCCAAAGCCGCAACCTGCTCCTTTCTTCAGGGTGCTTCGAACCACCATGTGACCGGGTCCGTATCATGACACCGTGGCCTTAGAGTTGGGGGTGCGAGGTTTTGAGGTACCACCAAAGCAACCGTCAGTTGGAGAGCTCACCAGCACGTTGTTCTTGGAAGCTTCCGGTGTGCTTCCGGATGCGAGCGTCCACCTGTGGGGATTGGCCCTGTCAACTCAAGGCTTTAGGGTAACCCCTCAGGTCCCCAATCCTCAACCGCAAGCACTGACTCTAAACCTAAAGCCCCACAGAGGGTTCACGTATACCTCAAGCGTACATACGTGGTCCTCAAAGTCATGTGATTTGGTTTAGGATGTACCCTCAACCCTGAAAGCATTGAAGAAGCCTGCAGGCTATGTCCATGTGTGTGGCCAACAACCAGGAGGCCTCCTTGTGGAGTTGACAGACGTTGCGGAGTCTCGAGTTCCAGCCTCTAAACAGGGTTAAATCACGGGCCCCTTTGCCTTTGCGGACCTTAGATGTTCGGTTCCTGCAGCGCGCCATGCGCCCTGTGCCCCTTTGATGTTTCGACTCTTCGACCAGGCACCCAGCAAACTCCGCACCATGACGTGGCAGGCGGCTTGGACAGGTTTTCGACCCCAATGGGCAAAGGGTGCTACACTGAACCTCCCACTAGAACCGCTGAAAGCCCAATCTAGAACTAGAGGACATTGAGGAGTTCGGACGCCCCAAGAAACCCTGAACACTCAACCCTGTTATGGGCATTTGGGGATCTTTTGGGGGTGGCCGAATTCATGTCGGGAGTCGCACACCGGTGTGCTCTAAGTGCCATCTGAATCACTGCAGATTTTCCCCAAGAAATCTAAGTCGCCGACGTGGGTCGGGAGGCTTACTTGGAGGTTCATGGATACTTGTAAGTATAAGGGTTATAAATTTATCTAGGGTGCTTATAACCCCACTTCTAAGTACCCCTCAACAAACCCTAAACCCTAAACCCTGAACCCTGAACCCTGAACCCTGAACCCTGAACCCTGAACCCTGAACCCTGAACCCTGAACCCTGAACCCTGAACCCTGAACCCTGAACCTCCGAGGTGGGTTTCGGGGGGCTTGGGGCTTCGGGGTTGGGCTCTGAATGGGGGCGCAACAGACACATGCACAAAGCCCTGGCTCTGTGGCTCTCAGAGCTGGCTGGTTCTTAGTAGGGACTGAAGGAATGAGGGCCCCATATAATCCCTTAGAGGGGCATGTCTAGGGCCCTCATTCCCTCATTCCCTTCTAAGAACCATGGGGGAAAGCGGGACAGGAAAGCCCTTGCGATGTTCGTCGGGGGGAAAGAGTGATCTGTATCATGGCACACTATCTCCTAGGCCCGAAGCCTGAAACTTCCACCCAAAACCCTTCAATCCGAACCACCAAACCCTCAATCCCAAAACCAAAACCCCCAAACCCCCCCCCCCCCAAAAAAAAAAAAAAAAAAAACCTAATCCCCCAAACCCTAAACCCCTTCTTTAGCCAGGCCCATGAGCACGAGAAGCGAATCCTCGGCCTCTTGGACGCTGCCTGTGGGGTCATGGAGAGCCAGCTGCCCGGCTAGAGGATGTTTGGGGTAGAGGGCTTAGGGCTTAGGGCTGTAGGGCTGTAGGGGCTTAGGGCTTCGGGGGGCCCCTGGAATGCTCCGCAGGTTGGGGCTTCATCTTGTTGAGGGTGTTCATTTTTGTTCAGTTCAGCTCTTCAAACATGTTTATCCATGTGAGCGACTGGAGAGCGTTTAGTAGGAGTCGGGCACCTTGCATCCCCATACGTTGCACATCTCAGGGGCTAAACTTTTCACCGGCTATCTGCTTGAGCTCGTTCGGGGCTTGAAAGCTGAGGGTCATGTTGGATGAGTGATGCCCGGCTCTGGGTAGATTCATGAGGAACACTGAAGTCTGCAATTCGTGAACCACTAAACCGCAAATTTGAAACCCGAAACCCTAAACCCATGAGCGGCTCTTTTCGGTGCATTTTTGAACTTAAATCTGAACCGCAGACTTCACTCAAAAACCGCCAGCCTTACACCCTGAACACCCTCAGCCCTACACCCTGTAGAATCCTGTAGAACCCTAAGACTTGCCCTAAGATCGCTTTGGCCCACATCCCTCAACTCTAAACCCCCACTTGGAGGTTCATGGGTACTTACAAGCAGGGTTAGATGTACCCTAGATAAAGTCATGATAACAATCGTGAATACGAAGCCGACCCATGCACGTCAGGCTTGGTGCGGTGGATTGTGGGCTTGGTGGGGTCGACGTGGGGTTTTGGTGCAGAAGTCGGGTTTGGTGCAGCATTTCCGCTTGGTGCGTTCAGTGTTTTTCTTGGTGAAGTGCTAGATCAAGTGGTTTTGGTGCAAAACAGTTTTGCTACCGGGAATGCCTTACTTAAAGCCCTACTCAAGGCTCGCTCAGGGTCTCCCGCCTCATCCGGCTCTCTGGCTGCATTTCCTTCTTGGTTCTTAGCGAGAGGATTGCGGGAGTTCTAGGCTTAGGGGTTCAATCCCTTTTGGGGTTAAGTTGGAGGGTGATATAGGGGGACATATCAGGTACCGTCTCGAGACTTCTCAAAGTAAAGTCTTGTTTTGGGTTTTTTTTGCTCGGCGCGGTCCATAGGCCTTACCGAGGATTTTCGCAGTGTAGGATGTATGATCCCAATATTCGTTTTTGTGGTACCCAAGGTTTCTGTTGGGCCTAGGTTCCGGGATCTCAAGTCGTGGGGTTTGTTTGGTGGGATTTGGGCGCGTAGGGTGGGGGTGGGGTGGGGGGGAGAGGATGGATTGCGTCAGGGAGTTGGGTGGCGCGGGTGTTGGCGAGGCGCAAAAAGGGCTAGCATCGGCTTGGTGAAGTTGAGTCTTTCAGTGTGGTTGTCATGCTTACATGTGGCCTAGCCAGGCCCTCAGACCTAAACCCTGCACAGCCGCGGGCTTACCCACCCTAAACACAAGGAACTTTAACCCTAAGCCCCTGAACCCCCCTACACCCTAAACCCTAAATCCCCTAAACCCTAAGCCCCAAAACCTCCCCTTGAACCCCAGAGGCCAACGAGTTGGCTGATTGGGAGCCCTACCACGCCAACCTGCACCCGCGCCTTGGGCGCCGGGTTGAGGGGTGTAGGGCTTAGGGTTTGGGGCTTAGGGTTTAGGGTTTCGGGTTTGGGGGTGTGTCTACTTGGAGGTTCATTGATACTGTTCAGTAGGGTTATGGTTAGGTATAACCATGGTTACCCTACTCATAACCCTACTTGTAAGTACGAGTTGTGCTTTGCTAGCCTGCCTGACATGACACACTGACCCCCAAACCCGACACCCTGTCGACTCCAAACTTGCGCAAATGCCCAAAGGCCTCTAGAATACTCCGACTCCCTGAGCTGTCAACCCGAAGCCCTAAACCCTAAACCCCAAACCCGAAACCCTAAACCTAGGACCCAGGGGCTCCTATTCCTTTGGGGGTTTCCGAAAATAAGGGCTACCTGTTTGGGGAGTCCCTTTAAGGGATTCTAGTCTAATTTTGGGTGAAAAAAGGGGGTACCCGTATTTGGGAAATGCCCATAAACCCCTTCAAAGCAACAAGTCACGGAGAGTGCAGCCAGGCTCGACAAAGACAGCTTTGCCAAGGCGCGCGGCCGAAGGGACGTGTGCAGGGGTTCAATCGATCCGTTGCAGTTTTAAAGTTTTGGGGTGTGACCCTGAACTTGGGATGTACCCCCTTATCCTTTAACAATAGTGGGGGGGGGGGGGGGGGGGGTACTATAATCCCTATTAAGGACTGTTAGCATAAAGGGGAAATCCCAACCCTAAATACTTCAACCCTAAATGTTGTTGAGTTTGGGACCTTCAGGAGGGTTTTTTTGGGGCCGACAGCGGTGTTGAGTTGCCACTGGTCTTGGCCTGAGGACGTACCCTCAAATGGCCCCAAAACCCCGAAAGCCTCAAACTCCTATGTCCTTAGCACTCTCTCCTGTGCTTTCCGGCTAGGGGCAACAAGACTAAGAAGAGTAAAGCCAGTAAGAAAGGAATTGATTGGGAATGATAAGAGTATTAAGAGTAAGCAGAACAATCAAAGCAATAAGAAGAAAAAACAGGACGAAGAGTTATAAGAACAAGACAACAGTACGAAGAGTTATAAGAACAAGACAACAGTACGAAGAGTTATAGAACAAGACAAGGCACGAAACCCTGAACTCTAAACCCCTAAACTCTCAACCCTATCGTTAACCCAGAGCCCCAAGCCCTGACCTAGCCCTAAACCCCCCTAAGCCTGGAACCTTAAAACTGCATGGCGCAAGTCTGAGCTTGGAACCATGGGCCCGTAGTTAAGTCCCTTCCCCTTGTTTTTTATAGGGATCCGACATCTGGGACGCTTATTCAAAAAAAGATCATACATGTAGTGTATGAAAGGGTTCTATAACAAGGGGCCCAAATTGAGGGTGGAACCCTCGATCAAGGCTTTGAACCCCACGGTTTGCTGCTTCGATCTCCTCTTCCGACGCATCCACGAGGGCCGGGCCTGGGGGTTCAGGGTTTCGTGGTTGAGGGTTCAGGGGTTGAGGGAAACCTAAACCCTAAACCCGCAACCTGAAACTGGATTTAGGGTTGAGGGCTTACGTTGGGTTGGGTTTGCGGGGAGGGGGGGGCGGGGGGCGCTTGGGTTTCTGTTGGTTCGGCTCAGGCACCGGTCTCTCTCTCTCCCTCCCTAAACCCTGTTTCCTGAAACCGAAACCCTGACCCCTAAAGTCTAAACATATGTTTCATATGGTTAACCAAACCTTCTTTTTGGATTAACCAAAGCAGAGACTTTGAGGTTGAAGGCATCATGCAGCTCTCGCCCAAACTCTGCCAGCCCGAAGCCTCCTAAACGCAAAAATTAAGGCTCAGGGTGTAGGGTTTAGGGCTCAGGGTTTAGGGTTTGGTTAAGGGTCCAAGGACCTAAAACTCTAAAGCCCAAAGCCCCAAATCCCTGAACCCTAAACCCTACCCTGTCACGGGTGGCAAGGCCAGGTGATGCAGGCTCCCTGGCTGACCTGGGGGCTTCTGTGCGAAGATCGCTTTGGTGGGAGCACGTTCCAGCCCCTTAGGACACCCAATGGCCTGGATTATGGGAGTCTTTTGAAGCAGGACGCTGAGGTCTCGAAGGGGGGTCGCAGCGTAGGAGATTGGGCGGGTTGATAGGTGCCAAATAAGTGCCGATGGGGCTCTTTCACCCGATGATGCTGCACATACCGGCAGCCATATGAGAGAACTGGACTGAAGGCGGATTGGAATGGCACAGTAATCGCACAACCCTGTTCAAAAATATCTCCGACTGCAGTAGCGTTGGCACCACGTCTGTGGGCGAGAATTGCACACTCGCAGGCGGTGAAAGAGTGAGCGATGGCTGGGGTGGCAAAGACAACAACTGCTGCAATGAATGCTTCTTCTCACAGAGGGGCATCTGGCTTTTGCACATCAAACGACAACTGCGATCTCGCATCCTCAAGCCCGGGACACAGAGGGGCCAGGCGCATCCGACAAACGTGCGTGCCGTTCCCTTGCAGAGCTGTCAGCATGTCGGCAGGCTTTTTGCATGCTTGTTTGGAGAGCCACGTGCAGGATTATGTCGGCCCAGGGGTGGCGGGAAGTCACCCCTAACCCCAGCGGCACAGTGCTTAAGAGCGTATATGCTGCCAGAATTGGTAGGTTCTTGCGATGGGAATAGTTGTTCTTTACCGTTTGCCTGGTTGGGTAAGGAGCCCATGTGCCCTTGCGGCAGCTGCTTTGACCCGAAACAGGATTCTATAGCATCCCAACTGTTCCCCATCAAGGTACATGAAGCCGTAATCCCTAAACCACACCCTGCCCTAAACCCTAAACGTAAGCTCTGAGGCCTCAACCCTAAACCCTAAACCCTCTGGGTTTTAGGGGCCAACAGAGAGAGACCATCAGCCCAGATCTACTCGCCAGAGCTGGCGAGCAGCCTCTACGACCGCGCCACGGACTTGCTCAAAAACTTCCGCCTGTGCGCGACCCGGGCCGCAGGGGCCCTAAACCCTCCAAACCCTGGGCAGAAAACAGCCCGAAACTGACCCCAAGCCCTACAAGTTACCCAAAGCCCAACACCCTTCAAGTTCTCTAGACTTCCCTAAGCCCGAGACTTCCTATGGGCCCTGAACCCGAACTCCTTTGGGAGTTTAGAGACTGGGTTTTCGAAGGAAGCTCCATGTTAATGGGGCCCCAAAAGGTTTTAGGGTTTCGGGTTAAGGGTTAGAAAAAGGGTTAAGGGCTTATAGAGAGCTGTTAAAGTTCTGGGGGAAACTTGAAATCTGAAAGCCCCCATATCTCAACAAAGGAGATGGTCGTCGAGCAGCAGTCTCCTGCGCCCTTTGCCGTGCACATGCGCAGCTTGGGTCCCGCAGAGATAAGGGCTGAACGTTTGGGACCCAGGGCCGGGGACTATGTCCCTTAGCTCCGCGACTCTTCTTTTAAACCATGCGGTGGGCGCAAATATTCCTCACATTTGGGGGGGGGGGGGGGGGGCACTGGGGAAGGAATTGAAGGAAGCATTGCACCACAGTGTGCGTTGGCTCTAGGGCTTAGGGTTTGGCCCTGTTGTGCAACAAGGGCCATGTGCCGGTGCAACTGCAAGCAAGACCAAAGACCGCATGAAATTCGAACCTTATGTCTGTAGGGTCTGGAGGCTGCGTGCCCTAAACCCTAAACCCTAAAACCCTAAATCCCTAAAACCCTAAACCCTCCTCCCCATCCCACGCAAGGAAGCATTCTCCTGGTTTTCTGCGTCAGCTTCCCCTTCACCATCGTCGGCAGCGTGGGGCCACTGTCCTTGTTCCTGTTGCAAACCGCTTCCCGGCACAGGTTCGAACCCTAACCCGTACTCTTTAAACGCCCAAGAGCAACAGCCATTGTCCTAACTCCCCAAGCCCTCTGATTCCTCAAACAAAAACCCTAATCTCTACCCTAAGTCCCGAAAAGATTGTAAGCTGTAACCCGTAGATAGTTGACACTCTGACCGAAGGAGCGAACTGTGCAGAAGCTACCCTCGGGCTCAAGAATCTCTCTCCAAAATGGGGAAGACTTGGGCTACAGAGTTGTGCCTGTATTTGTGGTGTTGGGGCGGTTTAGGGTTTGGGGTTGTTTAGGGATTAGGAGCTATGTGGCCCGGGGCCAAATCCTGGAAGCATCAAACGGTTCGCGCAAGCGCACTTCTCTCGCAGTCCCCCTTGTTGGGTTGAATTGAACCGAATTTGTTGGGGATTAGGGCTAAGGGCGGAGGGTTTGGGCGTGTATCGTACCGTTGAGCCGCATGAAAAGACATTTGTCTACAGGGCCCCCAAACCGCCCCGGCGCCAAGCAAAGGTTCTGAGTTTCAGCTTCTTGGGCATTGAGTTCGTCAGCCGACAGATGGATCCCTGAGCTTTGAACTTCCAGGGTTGAGGGTTTAAAGTTCAGGGTTCAGGGTTTAGGGTTTCGGGTTTAGGGTTTGGGGTGTTTCTTCCAGGGGTGCTGCTCAGCACGTTGATATGTAGGCCTTCGGCCTCATGTTCAAGGCTTCGGGGGTTTTTTGGGGGGTACTACATGAGTCTGAGAGGTGCTTGCAAGCTTGTACAGCGTTGCCCATGTGATTGCCCCGGCTTGGAGTTCAGGGGTTTAGGGTTTAGGGTAACCCTATAAACCCTAAGTCCTAAACAGGGTGTTCTGGTGCCCGGCAACTTTGTAAACTCGCACCCCTGGAGACCCACCTCACCCACGTCAACATGTCCCGGGCCTCATTCTCCACAGCGTAAACCCTAACCTTGGGATGTTTCCCCTTATACTAACAGTCCTTAGCAGTCCTTAGTAGGGATTATAAGGGGGGGGGAGGGGGGGTACTATGTTCCCTATTAAGGGCTGCTAGTACAAGGAGGAACTTCCCAACCCTAAGTCTAAAAGCTTTGAATCGCGGGCATCTGAGCCCTAAAACCGCAAACCCTATGAACCCTATAAACTTAACCCTACGAAACCCCAAACCCTAACCTGGAAGACCCTAGAAGCCCTAGAAACCCGACAACCCCATAACCCCATAGACCCTACAAACCCTCTTCTTGAAGGTTCATGGTGACTTAGAAGTAGGGGTATACGTGCCGTATATATTGTTATAACGCCACTTCTAAGTACCCATGAACCTCCAAGTGAGCCCCAAACCCCTCAAACCCTTTTAAATCCATATACACCATATACACCCGAAACCCTACAAACCCTACAAACCCTCTGAACCCCCAAACCCCTCAAATGTCAGAGACTTCAGACCGCAGGAGCATCCATTCGGAACAGACGAGTCGGACATCCCGGTCAAGCGCCCGTGGCCTCATAGAGTTGTTTAGGGTTTAGGTTTAGGGTTTATAGGGTTTATAGGGTTTATAGGGTTTATAGGGTTTATAGGGTCTATAGGGTCTATAGGGTTTATAGGGTTTATAGGGTTTATAGGGTTTATAGGGTTTAGGGTTTAGGGTTTGGGGTTTCTTTCGGACCGGTTTCTTTGAGGTAGAACCCTAGAGCTCTCAGATCAAATACCTTGAACCCAGCTGAGTTTTGCAAATTGGTTTTGCGCCACGATTCTAAACATAAGACTTCAACATTAGCGCCAACACAACCCAAGACCTTAAACCCTGAAGTCCTAAACTCCCTCGAAGCACTAGAAGCCCCAAAAAGCCACAAAAAGCCCCCAAAAGCCTCCAAAAGCCCTCAAAAGCCCTCAAAGATCTCAATGTCTTCAAGAGCCCCCAAAAGCCCTCAAAGCCCTCGGAGCCCTCAAAAGCCCTGAACAGACCCTCAGGGTTAGTATGGGGGGGGGGGGGGGGGGTGCCTAGGCTTGCGTGCACTGTCCTCTTGCTCAGGAGTTCAGGGTCTAGGGGTTTTTGAGGCCCCCAAAGCTCTGACACAACCCATCAGGGTTTAAGCTTTTGGGTTTGCAGTAGAAAGTTCTCGATTGTTAAGGGGAGTTTATAGGGTTACTACGGGCTTTAGGGGGAGGTCTGTAGGGTGCAAGGTTTCTTGTAGATCGCATGTCGTCTTCAGAGCACGACCTGGCTTGAACCCAAGGAAGATTCTCGCCAAAGCCCGCGGAACAATCCGAAGGATCCGACAGCGACACGGGATCTCCGCAGGGAGCGGACTCGGGGGCTTCAGGCTTCGATGGGGGCTCCCGGGCTGACCTGCAATTGCATTTCAGCAGCCAGTAGATTCAGCAGCCCCTACCATGAGGGACTCCTAGGATAGAGACCCAAATAGTAGGATCTCTGTTTCATAAGGACCTCGATGAGGTACCCCCAATATCGTAGTCCCCCATAGAAAAAACCTCAAGGATCCAGAATCTCCTCTAGCTCAGCAGGTCTTTTCTGGGGGCTCCACACTTGTATCATACGCTGGTTTTCAGTGCATTTGAACCGGGGTCCTTTTGAAAGACGCCCCCCCCTTTTTGCGTCAACCTGGCTGCCGCTGTAGGCGCCTTGCCGACCCTAAACCGTAAACCCTAAACCCTAAACCCCCCTCCCCCCTGCATTGGACATCTTGGATGCCCATACAGAGGCAGCCAGGGCTCAGCCGATAACAAGGCCGATCCTTTCGCTTCAGGCTTCCTGTCTTTGCAGACACCCTGCCTTTAGGGTTGAGGGTTGGGATGTTCCTACAGCTTCACCACCTCCAATGCACTTAATCTAGTGGAGACGTTATGCAAAAAATGCCGGTCCATGGCCAGTCGGATAAACCGAACGGACGGCCATGAGAAGCCAGCAGCGCAGGAAGCCCCGAATATTGAGGTAACAAATGAGCAGCGGGCAATAGCCCTGGCCCGAGGACAAAAAAATGCCACACCGTCAGGTGCTTGTTGGGATGCCGAGCTAGGGTTTACAGGACTTGTAGAGATTATTCGCACATGGGGGTTGACAGAATAAGGCACCCCGAACGTAGTCCCCAAGTAGTAGGATTCCCGTATAGTAAGGACCCCTATAAGGTACGTACCCCTAATTTCGGAAACATAATGTGCCCGAAGCTCGAAACCGTATGGGCTTTAGGGATGAGGATGTTGGTCTGAATGTCCCATAACATCCGGAAACCTAAAGGCATGAAGGGACCTTATACTATCTTCCCCCTATAGAACCCCGTACAAGCTTCTAAAGCCCAAGAAAACCCTAAACCAGAGAAAGCCCTAAACCCGAAGCCCTAAGTGTCCAAGCCTTCACCCCAAACCCAATATGTACCTGATATAGTCCCTAGTAACACCTAAGTCGCCCCAATGTGCTGAAAGGGTCAAGGTGCCCGTCTGGGCTCATGGGAAGTCCACTGCCTCCCTGGCTGGCCGTTGCCATCTCCCTTAGCGCAGAATGACCCAACCACCCTTAAGAAAATGGAACGACTGCCCGCCACCACAGGCCGCCATGTCAACAAAGAAGAAGAAAAAGAAGGACAAGGCACCGAACAGAGCTTATCATTATGATCAGTGTTATTACGATTATTATCTTATTGCTCTCACAACAATATGTTTGTTGTTATTCTTCCTATTGTTACTATTAAGATGATTCTTTTTGTTATTGTTACTCGTCAGGCTTTGAAGGCTTTCGGGTTTTCTGTTCCTCACACATGGGGGGCGGAGCTGATTGATGTTCCTTTGCTGTAATTCTGCCCGCAACGTCTGCTCTTACTTCTGGCTGCCCTTTCAAGAGTATGCTTCTAGAAGATCCTCGCTCGTCCTAGGAGTTCCGAGATGTGCCTCTAAACGGCTAATTTCCTAAGCCCTAGCCTCTGTCATTTTCTCACAGGAACGCCGCTTGATGCCCCAAACCTGAAGCTCTACAACTCAAGTGGCCCAACGACGAGTCATACAGGAGCCTACCGAACTGCCAAGACTACCCCCGCATGTACGCACCCTGCAGAACTGCATAACTATAGTTAAAAACCCAGAAACACACAGTCCAAGCAATGTGCTCCCTCGGAAATTTATGGTGCAAACTACCCCTCCCCCCCCCCCCCAAATACACCCAGTATAATGGTCAAGGGGCCCCTCTGCGAACGCAGCAGACCCCAAACGAGGCTCTGCAGCCCGCAGGCTTAAGCGGTGTCTGGTGGGTCTAAGGTTTATCCCAACCCGCCCTGCTTAGGGAAAGAGGGAATTGGGCACCTTGTATCCCCAAACCCCAAACTTCAAACCCCAAACCCCAAACCCCAAACCCCAAACCCCAAACCCCAAACCCCAAACCCCAAACCCCAAACCCTAAACCCTAAACCCTAAATACATTATGTCGGGGCACCGACTGCCTTAATTCCTTACCAAGCGCCAGAAGCCTTGACAAGAGGATGCTGAGCGCAAGTCGCTTTGGCCCTAAACTGATCGAAGCACAATAGGCCGCCTGAACTCATTTTAGGGGTTTGGGGTTGAGGGTTTGGGGTTGCGGGTTTAGGGTTGAGGGTTTAGGGTTTAGGGTTTAGGTTTAGGGTTGCAGGCTCCTGAGGAGATCGCAGGGAAAGAAGCCGAGCAGCTTGCCGGTAAGAAGGACCCTGTTGGGAGAAGTCCATCTGCGCTAATGTTAGGGTCCCTTTAATAAACCCCCCCCCCCCCCCAAATCTTGTTTTGGTCCCCGGGGTTTGGGGGGGTGGAAAAAAAGACGGGGTGCCAATAATCAATTCTGGGGATCTTAGAAGACAAGCACTCTCAAACGAGATCTGCTTCTCTAAAGACTGAGCCTCGGAGCTCTTTCAAGCCAGCTCAGCTGAAAAGTCTTCTCTGCAATGGAACTCTTAAGCGATTCTCAGTAAAAATCTTCAATTCCAGGCCGGAAAATTTTAGAATTACCACCCTTTATTATTATCACCGCACCCCCCTATATAGACTTGTTTACATGCATCGGCCCGAAAACCTCCCGAAATGGAAAGTAGTCTTCGGCTGGACCCCTCTGGCCCGGCGAATTTTAGTATTACCACCCCATTTATAAATGGGACTCTCACATTAGACCCTAGACCCTAGACCCTAGACCCTAGACCCTAGACCCTAGACCCTAGACCCTAGACCCTAGACCCTAGACCCTACACCCTAGACCCTAGACCCTAGACCCTAGACCCTAGACCCTAGACCCTAACCCCAAACCCTAAACCCTTAACCCTAAATTCTGTCGGGTTTAGGGTTTTGGCGTTTACGTTTCTTTCCGTGCGCAAGTTGCATTCGGGACAGTAGGCTTCATTCAGGCTTGGGGTTCAGGGTTTGCGCCCTCCGGCTCTTGCAAAAATGAGTTGGTGCGCCTAGAATTTTGGCGTTTTGGGCCCTGAACCCGAACCCTAAACCCAGAACCCTTACGGCTTTAGGGCCTGAAGGGTTAGGGATCTCGGCTGTTGTACTTTTTGGTTTGGAACAGAAGCGGCTGCCCAAAAGCGCCACAACACAAGTCTATGCTTCGCTGACACCGCTGGAAGGCTCGCTCATTGCTGTGCCCGCAAGAAGAGCATGGCAAGCTTTCAAAAGAGTCTTCAACTACCCCGGAATGCCCCCACAGCTCCTCCCCTTGTCCTTTTTCCTACAAAGGCCAGGGATCTCCTTCCTGAACCTAAAGCCCAAACCCGCAGGAGAAGAAGAAGAAGCGGAAGCCAGCAGCATCAAGGCACTTACTCCCTTAAAGTCGAAGCACCATGAAAACGCTTGAATCCCCTAATGCCTACACGGAACCCTGAGCCCTAAACCCTAAACTTTGTACACCCTGAACCCTACGCCTTCCTACTTCTAAACCCTAACCCAAAACCCTCAACCCTGAAGCAGTGCCTAAACCCTAAACTTTAAAACGGAAGAGTCGGAGGAGTGAAGATAAGTGTTTTAGTATTTCTTTGTTTGGGTGGGGGTGGGGCTATGGGGTTTAATTAGTGGTTAGGGGGCTTTAAATCAGTTTCTGCAATATGTGGATAAGGGTTTAGAGCCTCATGTCTGGGGCTGTAGACGGTGTCCAAATAACAGGCTTGAATTGAAACTTAAACTCCGCCGGTCCGGCAACCCAGTCAAAGGGGTTGAGTTGGGAAGTTCCCCCTTATACTAACAGTCCCTAGGAGAGATTATGTTGCCCTACTACAATAATCCCAATTAAGGACTGTTAGTGGAAGGGGGAACACCCCAAGGGTTGAGTATGAAGTGGGAGTGTGTGTGTGTGTGTGTGTGTCCATTTTAGCCTATTGCCTATTGGGCCTATTGCTTGGTGATAGAACGGCTGGTTGAGGGTTGATGGAACCTTGTAGATCTTGTGATTAAATGCTCTACACATACTGATCGATATGGCCAAAGTCATGAACATCTACATCCGCACTCGACTGAGAGAGTCTTCGCATGACCGCACGTCGTATCATCCGAGTCGCGGAGTTGGCTTTTTGGGCCTGTGGTTTGATCTCATCGGCTTGCCCACGGAAGCTGGCAAGGCTTCTAAATAAGCAAAGAAAGAGTGTGCGTGTGTGTGTGTGTGCGTGTGCGTGTGCGTGTGCGTGTGCGCGTGTGCGCGTGTGCGCGTGTGTGCGTGTGTGCGTGTGTGCGTGTGTGCGTGTGTGCGTGTGTGCGTGTGTGCGTGTGTGCGTGTGTGCGTGTGTGCGTGTGTGCGTGTGTGCGTGTGTGCGTGTGTGCGTGTGTGCGTGTGTGCGTGTGTGTGCGTGTTGTGCGTGTTGTGCGTGTTGTGCGTGTGTGTGCGTGTGCGTGTGTGTGCGGGTGTGCGTGTGTGCGTGTGTGCGTGTGTGTGCGTGTGTGCGCGTGCGCGTGTGCGCGTGTGCGCGTGTGCGCGTGTGCGCGTGTGCGCGTGTGCGCGTGTGCGCGTGTGCGCGTGTGCGCGTGTGCGCGTGTGCGCGTGTGCGCGTGTGCGCGTGTGCGCGTGTGCTCGTGTGCGCGTGTGCGCGTGTGCGCGTGTGCGCGTGTGCGCGTGTGCGCGTGTGCGCGTGTGCGCGTGTGCGCGTGTGCGCGTGTGCTCGTGTGCGCGTGTGGGCGTGTGCGCGTGTGCGCGTGTGTGGGTGTGGGTGTGTGGGTGTGTGTGTGTGTGTGTGTGTGTGTGTGTGTGTGTGTGTGTGTTTGTTTTTGTTAGGAGGGAAGGCGAGAAGGCGCAGCCCCCCGTTGCACAAGAACCCAGCGCTTGCTCTGGGCAGGTCACAGGATGGCCAGGCAGGGGGTGGTGTTCCGGATTGTCTGAGGCTTCTACGAGTTCTGTCCTTGCAGAATGGGTTCAGAGAAAAGAGCTGAATGATGAGCCTCGGGGCTTCTGCTGACAAGTCCCATGCGAAAAGACCCACACACAGAGACCTTTCCAGGCAGGTACCCAAAAACGCTGTTCAGTAGAGCTTTTGGCTTGGCCTAAGCCCTATTTCCATAACACCACGAGTCTTCTTTGGTGTTGGAGGGCAACATAGTAGCTATGCCTCAGATATCGACCCTTAGCTTAGCCAGAGCCTCAAGACACCCGAACTTGAAGGCTGCATTCGTTACATAGGCATATGTGTACGCTTTGCATAGTTTTTGCGTTGCCTGCCTTGCATTGCACTGCGTCCACACGTGTGGTACCCATTTATGAGCTTATATATTTGTATATATATATATAGTTGTCTATCTATCCATGATCATGCGTCTTTACATATATCACATACACATACGATCATGTCTATGCGTGTGTATATATATGTACACGTGAAGATTATCTATATATATATATAGAGAGAGAGAGAAATAGAGACAGATTCAGATAGAGATATGTATTATATATTTCTATACATATATAGAGCGAGAGCGAGAGACGACTGACGCGGCTGACATGGCTGATCAGCTGCCCTTGGGGGATCTTCGGGCGGCAGGAGGCCCCAGTGCAGCTGAAGCCACGCCAAGTCGCTGAGCAGGCGAAGACTGTTTGCTTCCGGGGTTTGGGGCTTGGCTTCGGGAGTAATGCTGGCTTCCTGATGCTTCCTTTGACACGTTTGTTTTTTGCTAGATTGGTTGTTGTAGCGCTTTCTCGTTTTTCCTCCGTACAGCAGTGCATTCGTACAAAACGAGAGAAAAAGGGTTCAAGGAGCAAGTATCCACGTTTCAACGGCTAGTTCGAGCAAAGTATGTCATATGCTTCAGCGTCTATGCAGCCGCTGGGAAGCATGAGACGTCGGCCAAGAAGGCGTATGGCGTGCCTACATGCAGACCATATAATTTTGTTGGATCAATGTTGCATCTATCGTGTAATGGGCCTATAGTTTACATCCAATATGCTGCCTACTATGCGGATTAGATACAAGTGCATGTATACACACACTATAGCCGCATGTGGTTCTTTCTCCTTTTTACAAAAGTGCTAGGGAGGCTGTTCGCGCAATGGCCGGCTTTGGGGTAGTGAATGCTCTTTCGCAAAGGGTGACTGGGCTACCTTGTTGAGGAGAGTTTCCAAGGGATTCAGAGGGGTTAGGCTTAGGGAGTAGGGTTTAGGGTTTCGGGTGCGGAGCTGCAGTTTGTATTGAGGAAAGGAGTTGGTGTTGAAGGAAAAGGGGTCAATGAACCCGATAACCTTTCTGGCTCAAGGATGGCCAGCCCGTCCAGTGAAAAGTTTTTGCGCTTGGGTTTGGGTAGTAGGAACCTTGGGTTTCCTTGCCCTTCCCTTTTCATATACCTTAATCCCGTCTTGGTGTGGTTCGGTTCAGGGAGTTCATTTAGGCAGCCAAGGGTTGAGACTCTTCCTTTTCCCCTTTCGGTTGCCCCCGTAGGTTATGAGCCCAAATTAGGTTCCCTGCGGTTGAGTGTTCTCTTAAGGTTTTTTGGGATCAAGAAGCAATGCCTTCTCCCAAGCGATGGCTCCAACCTTCCTCGGATGGTGGGCAGAATGGTGGAGCTGGAAGTGGTGCAGCTGAGTCTCTGGGTGAAAGGGCGGTGCTGGAAGAGGTAATGCCTGGCGCTGAAGAACATCTGGATGAAGCCTCGGTTGCAGAAGGCCCCAATGTGGGTATGAATCCCAATGTGGATATGGTTAGCAATGCTGAAGCTGAAGGACGAGCTGTTGTATCGCCAAAACCTGGGGAAAAGAGAAACTGGGACGCGACTGGCGGTATAGACCGTGAACTGGAGGTGACCGTTTTACGCGTGTTGCACAAGCATGGGTATCAGCCGTCGACCTCAACTTCGGGACGAATGGTAGATCAAGGGTCTCAGACCAGTCTGAGTGGAGAAGTGCTGCAAGCTGCCAGGAGACCTCTGAACAAGATTAAAGGGGATCCCTCGGCGAGTTCCCTGGGTGGTGGAAGCGGTTATGAACAGAAGGGTGCGGACAGCTTTGAAGCTGCACCAACTGCTGACTACGCCATGGGGGAGGAGGAGATCTTACAGATGGAGGCTGAAAGGTTGCGCCAGTTGTCAGAAGAAGCGGATGAGACGCGCCAAGTCTCTGGAGTGGATGGTTTTCAGAAAGACGAGCATCTGGTTCAAGCGTGTGATGGGACAACTTGGGAGTGGCATATCCACGAAGATGGGAGACAGTATTACTACTGCCTGGATACGCAGGAAAGCAAGTGGACGCCGCCGGATGTAGGTGAAAAGGTGAAAAGCGACAAAGTGGCTGGGTCTCCTTCGGGCAATGGGCTGGAAGTGGAGACTGCACTGGGTCCTTCATCGACTACACCGACACCTGAGTCTACGAAGGCATTCCAGGGTAGTGTAAATAGTTTAGGTGAAAAAGATTTTTCCTGTAGTATTGGGGATAGCGGTCTTAGGGATGGTGGCGACGCCCAGACCTCGGGTTCTCCTGACGAGGAAGGAATTTCTGGATTCCGAGCAGACATGGCTGGAGAACATCTGGATCGGGAAGGAATGGAAGCACTTTCTGAGGGTGTCGCAGCGGTGAAATCTGTGGATCCGGTGGAAAAAGTACCCAATGCGGAGGTGGATGCTGTGTCGGCTACAGAAGAGCGAGTGGTGGATAAGGTATCTGGCCTTCAGGAGGGTGGTCCTGAAGATCTGGATGACGGAGGGAAGAAGTCGTGCGTTACGACTGAGGAGGTCTCTCCGTTTGGTGCCAAGAATCCTGCCATTCAGGGGAAAAAAGAAGCTTCTGAAATAGCTGGAGACACGGTTGATCTGGAAGATGAGGCCTGGAGCGCCAATGAAGCGCGGGTCAATGTGCCAGATAGTACCTGGAGTGCAGAGAAAGCAGCATATGGTGTCACGTTCCGCGGATGACTGCAACAATGGGGCGCAGGTCTCCGTAGTAGCCAACGATGGAGGCTCACAGGTGGACGCACTAGTGCTGCTTGAAGTTGGTGGCGAGGAACAGAATGACGAAGGCTACACCGGAGCCAATGCGGCAGCTGTGGTCAACGATAGTGGTGATTCTCTTTTGGAAACCATGGAGCCAAAGGAGCCTGCGGTGGAAGAAAATGTGCCGACCGCGGATGACCAATCCAACAGCCCTGCGGTGGAAGAAAATTTGCCTGCTGCAGAAGGTTTGACAAAAGACTCCAATGGTGGGTCCACTCCCAGGAAGGGGGAAGTATTGCCGTCTGAAAGCTTGCCGGAAGTCGACACCGAGCGAACTGTAACAGATGAGGCAAAGCCATTGGCTGGAAAAGAGGATGGTCCTGAGCTCCAGGAGCACAAGGTGGATGAGCTTGTGGGACTCGTGGAGCAGGACAAGCAGCTTGCCCCCAAGGTGGAAACAAGGGACGTTCCGGGAGCCGAAGAAACAATTCCGGTTTCTGAAGAACCAACGAAGAAAGTGCCCAAAGAGGGAGCCTTGGATACACCTGGGAAGCATTGCTATCAAAAGGGAGATCGGATCAATGGTCTAGTGCGCTGCATCAATGTACATGGAGCTTTTTTGGACCATGGCGATATGAATGTACTAATTCCTGCGGAAGGGAAAGATACACCTCTTTTCAAAATTGGTGACACTGTCAATGGAACAGTGGAAAGGGTGGATGATGATGGTACCGTGATCTTGGACACCTTCCTGGTTTTGGAAGAGGATGAGGAGGACTCCTCTTCGACGCTGCGCAAATGGAAAGACAGCGGCTGGGGTATTCATGGTACGCTGGTCAATGGTACCAAGGTTCCGACGGTCAATGGGACTGGAAGTCGGAAGAATGGCAGTCCCGCGAGTGGTTTGCCGATCCAGGATTATCTTCTGAGGAACAAGAGGAAGCCGTGCAGAAGCAGCTCTATGGAGAAAAGATCTATAGAGCTCTTCTGGAGGATGAAAAAGCTGATAAGGCCTATGTGGGCAAAATCACTGGGATGTTGCTGAGTCGTCCAATAGACGAGGTTATGGAGTGTGTCGCAGATCATGCATTCCTGAACACTGAAGCTCGGCATGCATACGGCATCTTGCAAAGTGATGGTTGGAAGCCCGATGGTACAGAATGTGCAGGCTTGGAAAAGACAATCACCTTTTCCCGAAAGCAGTACCACAACGCGCTCTACGAACTGGCACGTAAGAAAAGGAGATTTAGTGGACCAGTCGTGGGTGAAGCGGTGGCAATGTTGCTAAGCCAAGGCAAAGATGAACTTTGGAATGCGCTTTGGCTGGATACCAAGCGGTTTTTGCAGGAGCTTGATGGTGCAGTTGAAGTTATGAGTAAGAGGGAAAACAAGCCAATGGAAGCCTGCATGGATTCAGATCAGTATAAGAAGGCTCACATGACGCCAAGAACTGTGTCACCAGGATACAGCAAGCTGTGCAAGTTCTTCAATCAGGGAAGGTGTCGCAATGGAGATGAGTGTTCCTATGAACATCGTCGTTATGGTGAAGGTTGGCCAGGAGGAGGACCAACTGAGCCAAAGAACAGCCAAAAAGCTGGAGATGAGGATGGGAACATTGGTGACCCTCCTACAGAGGAAGGCACAGTTGATGAGGCACAGCAGGAGCGGGAGGATTCAGCCTTCAGAGCCAAGTACAACTTTGGTAAAGGTGCATCAAAGGGTGAGCCTACGTTGGGTGAGCCAAAAAGGCAGCTGTGTCTGTATTACAATCAAGGTGGTTGCAAGTTTGGGAGTTCATGCAGGTATCTTCACGACGATGAAGTAGTATTGGAAGGGACTTGGGAACCCGGCAAAGCTTGGGACAATGCTTCCAGGAAGGCACTACGGGACGCAGGGTTCCACCATTGCTGTTTCGATTATTACCTCAGAGGACAGTGCCGTAAGCGGTTCAATACTTGCAGATTTTCCCACGACGAGATGACAGATGAGCGGCTGGCGCACCTGAAACATTTGGTAAATGTGGCCAATCAGGTCCGGTTTGAAAAAGAGAGAGGATTGGAGATTTCGGACAGGAGTACTTTTCAGCCACCTGCAAGTGGGGGAGCTGAATCTTCATCCTCCTCAGCACCACAAGCATTGCAAATGACCAATGTGTCAAAGAAAGCAGGTGAGGTTGATACGCTGGATGGAGCAGATGGAGATGTACAAAAGGATTCGGTGGCAGAGTCTACCACTGTACGTCTTCAGAATCCAGAAGAGCCAATAAAAAATTGGATGGCTCGCAACCAACACTTGTGGGTGTGTACACCTCACGTAAGTGACGTGATGATCAAGCTTGGTGTGACCAATGTCAAGGAGCTACAAGAGTATATCTTCGTGGAGGATTTGGTGGAAAAAGGGGTTAACAAGGTGACGGCCTGCAAAATTCTGCAATTGGTGGGTGGTGTCCATTACCGGCCAATGTCGCCGGATGTGGCTGTTTCTACCAACGCATCGGTACGCATGGAGCAATCTTCTGGAAGCCGGGAAGCTGGAAGAGGGGCGGTGAGAACTATCTCTCAGGTGCGTGAAGCTGAAGGTCCTGGTACAAAGGAGATGCCGCGAGGGTCTTATCGAGAGATTTTCGACACAGGCAAGTTCCGTGACGCTTGGACGCTTGCGCAGAGGTCCCCGCTGCGCGTGCAGAGGTTGCGATTGGTGGGAGTTGGAATGCCACCGGTGAACCCGCCAACAAAGGCGTGTAGGTCAAGATCAAACCCTGTTAGAAGGGGAAGGCCCTTGCTGGATCGGAAACAGGTGCGGCTGGTGCCACGCTCTCGCTCACATCGGCGTGTGCAGCCGGCGGAGGTGGTGGAAAAGCCAAAGCCACTGGAACCGGTAAAGCCTCGTGGTGGTTTGTCGTATCCATTCAGCAGAGCGTGGGCAGATGTGGTGGATGATGATGATCAGACGAGAGCTCTGGTCTCCTATGCTGATTCCTCAGGTGATTCAAGCGAGGAAGAAACCAATAGCGCGCGACCCTGTGGGAAACCTTTTTGAGAGAAAGGGATTCACAAAGAACTGAGACAAGTGGCAATGTTCCACTTGCTGGTTCTTCAAGCTCCAATGATGGGCAGAAAAAATCGGTTCACCTTGGCGAAGAGCGCGACAAAGCGTCGCGGGGGGAGACCCGCCAAGAAGTTTTTTCGCTACCACAACCTTCTCGTCGAACTGAGCAGTCTCAAACAAGAGCAAGGGATGGCTCAGTTATAGTTGGTTCGCTGGCGGTGGGCTCCACGGATGAGGTTTTACCTGGGCAAGGTGTTGCTGGACAGGTGAACGTATCTGAAAGCGCTCAAGTTCTACCTGGGCAAGATGTGGCTGGACAGGAGACGGCGCTGGAAGGAGCAGTACAAATTCCTGGCGAGGAGACTGACCAAAAAGAAGGAGAAGGTGGGAGCAATGAACTCTGTTGATGGTACGAAGATATTGGATGGTCTTCCGGTGAAGAAGGGCCATCAGCACTTGCTTACCAAAGGCCTTCTGAATCGGATTTATTGGAAGGTTGCTGTCGGCAAGTTGCCTGTGGGGCAAAAGGACTGTCAGAAGGGGTCCAATAAAATGGATCGAAATTTGGTTATTAGCATGTCATCCGAAGGTGCAAGCGAACAGGATTTGAACCTGGCACTGGTGGACGATGCTGATCAGTCAATGGATGATGGTACATTGGTGGTTACGGCGTATGACCCACGAACGGTGATTCAGTCGCCAACAACTGATTGGGTTACGCGTCGCGGTTTGACCGATCGTGCCATCTGGCCGGCAATAGCGACTGCAGCGCAGAGGATATGTGCTGAAATGGTTCAAGTGGATGAACTGAATGCCCAGTTGGAGACTGGGAGACTCCTTTTTCAAAGGAGAGATCAAGGACATTATGGAGATTTGCATCATTCGTTCCATGAAGATCCGTGCTTGCCGGTGGTGGGAAATTATCCTCTTTCGGTGATGGGTGCATTGCTATCTCCTGGCCTGGAAAGGGAATTCAGAAATACTGAAAAGTTTGGAACTGCTATGGAGGCAAGAGCCTACGATTGGAGTCGCAGTCCAGGCATGGAAGTACATGTTGAACTTATGGCGAGGGTAGCCAACCTGGTTGCTCCGTTCCTTACCCTAGGAGGCCAAGGGTTGGTGGTGAATTCAGAATTTCTCTGGCAGCGCGGGAGGAACCAAATGATGGAGTTCCTTCAGGCGGCGACTTGTGCTGATCAATTGGAGGTTCTCTGGAAAAGGATGGACGACGATGCTGATGAGGAAGTGGATCCTTCAGGGATGGTGCTGGAGATCCCCGAACAGCAAGATGCGGTATTTGAGCAAGGGATCAATGAATCCCCTATTCCCATCGAAGATGCTGGAAGTGAGACAATTGGTGACACTGGAAGTGATGGCAAAGCGCCAGAAGTTTCTCCAGAAGAGGAGACATCCAGTGGTTCGTCAAGGTTGGCTGGCACCAGAATGTTCTTGTGGTCGGTGTATTCTCGTGTCGCTTCCAACTGGGATTTCTCTATGCAGGACCGCGCTACGGGTAGGATCTTTGACAGCACGAAGGGGTATCCTGGTGAAGGACCGGACAATGGTGACGATTTTTCCTCTAAGAGGAACTTACCCTGGATCTCTGAAGATTACCTCGACGAAGTGGTGTCAAAAAAGATGGAAAGGTCTTCAGATATGGATGGGTTGAATGGGTTTGTTCCGGAAAGTGAGGGACAGTCGGAAAGGGTAGAGGTGGAGAATGTTACTGCCTCTAGAATTCTTATGGCTCTTTGGAAAAAGGGATATAGAGCTGGGTATAGGAGGTTGTGTCGTTCAAATGTATCTGGACCCAAGGTTGGAGCAATGAATCGTCCAATCAAAAAGGTGCGGAAGATCGGCACTAGAAAGGCCTTCTTGAAAACGTTCAATGTTTTTGGATCGTCTCAGAATGGCTCAGGAGCTGGTGGGAAACCAATCATGAAGGTGATAGGACCAAGGCCAGGTTTTCCAGCTGTTCTTGATGCATCAAACATTGATAGCACCTTGGGTAAAAAAGGTAGTTCTCCAGATCATGGCAATGTCCATGTAGTGCGGGATTGTTCGATGGACCATCTTGAAGCAGAACGTTTGTCAAAAAGGAGACAAGGTATCTGCTATTGGTTTGCAAAAGGGAACAATCGCTGCAAGTTTGCTGAGAACTGCAAATTTATTCATTCCAATGATGATGTGGTGCTACAATCGTATTGGTGCAAATATTATGTGGCTGGGAGACACTGCTACGCTGGAGAGGACTGCAAGTTCTCTCACGACGCAACTGGTGTAAGGTGTATCCAGTTTGCTCAGTCTGGGAAGTGCCGTCATGAGGACAGGTGTGTCTTTGAACATGGTGATCCGCTGGATGAACAGAGGCCAAGGTCTCCAAGGACGCCCCCAAGGGATGGTCCGCGGAGGAGTACTGGTACAAGAAGTGGAGGAAAGGAAATTTCTCCTGAACGGTATGATGAAGATGATGAGGATTTGATGGGGTACGACGACGACACCAGCATGATAGAATTGCTGATGGAGGCAATTTCTTACATGTCTGATGGTAAGTCAGATTTGGCCCGCGCGGAAGCGGATCCGGTGTTTAAACTTTTAAAGTTCAATGGAGATGCTGACCAAATGGACGCAGAATGGTGTTCATGGACTACTGGCATGCTGTCTTCATTGGAACTTCACGAGGTAGTGAAGTCATATGAGATTCCACTGGTGGAGGTTGAAGAGTGGATCGATGATTTGAGGATATGGTTCCAGCGAGCCAATATGAAAGAAGAGAGAGATCCAAAAAGGGACAAAAAGAGGTCCCTAGAACGGGAGTCCAGTAAGGATATTCCTGCCAAAAAGGAGGTGGTTGGAACTTCGGAGACGGATGTTGCCGTTGAAGAAGAGGTGAAAAAGGCCAAAAAGAAGAGGAAAACTGCTGCAAGTGAGGATCCATACACTCTTCTGGTTCCAAAGACGAAGAAGATGCCGGTGAACATTGAGAAGGGTGGATCATCATCCAATGCGGTGGTATCTGGAGGGGAAAAGGCCTCTTCGAGAATGCGCACCAAGGCAAGCGTCTCGGGAAAGACGAAAAAGAAAGAGAAAAGTCAAAGCCCCAAGAAGGAAGAGGTGGTAGTGGTGGAAGGTCCTGAAGAAAAGGATCGTCCTTCTGAAGTGGATGCGCAGTCATCTACCACTGTTGATGCAGAACTGGGACAATCCTGCCAAGCAATTGAGGACGCGAAGAGAGAGGGGTTGGTATCCTCAATTCAAAGGTGTGTGCAAGATCCTGTTCTTACAGTGTCGGACCTGGAGCACGTTTTGCTGCGACTTCACCTAAGCATCGATGCCCATCGGAAGAAGAAGAAGGGATGACTGGATGGTATTGATGAGGGACTAGGTTTTTCTCTTTCTGAAGACAAGTGCGCTGGAACAGCCAATGTGCTGAAAGTATGGTGGTTACTATTAAGGGTATGGAAATCCCTGATAGTAGAGAGTGTACAGCTTTTTGCGTAGCGAAGACCACGGTTCGTGGTGAAGAAGGCTGAGAGTCTTCAATGACAAGAGAATCATGGTGGTAAAAAGATTCTCTATGGTAAAAGGTGTTTAGCCAATGTGCTATAAATTCGTCCTGGATGACGTAAAACCATAACTTGCATTCCAAGCAGCTGGCTGCTGCCTTAATGGCAGTTTTTGGCCAAAAGTCTGCACCTCCAGTTTGTGTCCCAGGAAATCCTAGGACAGGGGGAGTGCGGAGCTGCAGTTTGTATTGAGGAAAGGAGTTGGTGTTGAAGGAAAAGGGGTCAATGAACCCGATAACCTTTCTGGCTCAAGGATGGCCAGCCCGTCCAGTGAAAAGTTTTTGCGCTTGGGTTTGGGTAGTAGGAACCTTGGGTTTCCTTGCCCTTCCCTTTTCATATACCTTAATCCCGTCTTGGTGTGGTTCGGTTCAGGGAGTTCATTTAGGCAGCCAAGGGTTGAGACTCTTCCTTTTCCCCTTTCGGTTGCCCCCGTATCGGGTTTAGGGTTTAGGGTTTAGGGATATGGTGCTGGACAGGAGCGACACGAGGCTTCGGACAGGGAGCGTGAGGCCGGGCGGGCAACCTGTGACTTTTGATGCAGGTGGATTGCCAAGCGCGTCGATGTCTTCGCGGGTTTAGGGGGGGGGGGGGGGGGGGGGGTGGGGTTTAGGGTTCAGGGTCAAGTTCCTAGACTTTGTGCGAACAAGCCGTAAAAAATCGATATCTTCGGGGGGGAGGGGGTTGGGGGTCAACTTCTCGTTGCACCTCGTAATCTCGTTGTACCTCGTAATTATGTTCTAGATAGCATGCTGCCTCGCTGTTCGCGACTCAGAGAGCACACGAAGCCCTGCAAAGAGAGCTTCTTGAGTTCTGTGCTGTTCTTTAGGCCCCGGAAAGTCCTCGTCCCTCCTGTGCAAGCCACATTGACCCGTCTGTGCAAGCGCTAGAAATCCAAAACCTGAGCCGAGTCTCAACTGATTCCATCGAAATTCGGGGTACCATATTTGCATCCTTATTATGAGGGATCCTAGTATAGAGGGGTCCATTTTAGCGCTCCCCTATTCTCGTAAACCCCCATGGCCAGAAGGAGCCTGAGAGGAAGAAAAAGAAGAAGAAACCCAAGCCGGAGAACCTCGTTGAGGAGGCGTTGGGAGCTGCTGAAAGGCTACCCTAAACACATCCTACACCCTACACCTCCCTGAACTACCCTAAGCTCCTCTAAGCTGCCCTAAACTACCCTTTAAGAGCTCCAGAATTCTCCCAAGCAGCTTGGGACCCAGGAGCCGGAGAGGAAGAAAAAGAAGAAGCACAAGACTGAAAGGCACATGGACGAGGTTCGGCGGAGAGGGTCGCATGGGGCACAGCGCCTCTGTTGAACTGCAAACCCTGAAACCAGAAAACCCTTCTGCGGCCAGGCCCAGTGCTTGGTCCAGGGTGTTAGTCTGTGTAAGCCCCAGGAGGTTAGCAGTCGAGTAGCTTTTATAGTTTTTGTTTGTGTGTAGGTTTTGGTGCCGTAAGAATATTTCTTGCGGCACACCTCCTCTCCGGACAGTCTCAACATAGCCCGAATCGGTTTCGACTGGGCGCAGTGAGCACAAGTGCAACATAGGGTCCTGACCCTTGTCCCCAGAAAGAAGCTGACCAGTCGAACTTGTCTGAAGCCGCGCAGTCAGTGCATTCTACATCGCCTCGCCCTCACCAGAGCACACAGGTACTAGTTTCAGAAGCCATCCAAGGAATGCTTAATTCAGGAACTCTAGGTTACAAACCTGTAAAGCAAGCCTAAAGTGCCAATGAAGCCTATAAACCCTACCCTCCCCCTCAAGCTTGCCCTTTCCCCTTGTTTGGTTTCAAGGTTCCCTTTTACACCAACCAACACCCATTTTGGGCCCTTGTGGTCCTACTGGGCTACCAAGGAAGAAAAGCGAAGCCCCCCTAAGCCACCCGAAAGTGCGGTGAGGAGTGCCAGGGAGAGGAGCTCGTGCTCGCAGAGGAGTCAAGTTGCTTAAGTCACTGGCCCTCCATAAGATATTTACGCTTATGGGGTTTATGACAGGGTTTCAAAGGGCGTCTGGACTTTCCAGAATTTCTAGGATTTCTGGGGTTTCTAGGGTTTAGAAGGTTTACAGGGCTTATAGGGTTTTTAAGGCTGTTTATGGTTTAGAGGGTGTACAGGGTGTAATATGGGGTTAATAGGGTTTATAGGGTTTACAGGGTTTAAAGGGTTTAGGGTTCTTGAGGGAAACTCCGGGGGATCTTTGATCAACTCTGACATCAAAAATGCGCCAAGAACCTTACACCCTAGCCTCTAGCGATTTAGGCCTAGACATGGGTCCAGGCCTTGTGGGCTTTAGCCATGTAAGACGTAGAACTCTGAGCCCTTTTGCAGCTTGTTGGTTTCATGCAGGCAGGCCGGAGAAGTCTGGAATTCATTTTTCTGTCTGCTCGTGTTGAGATGTTCATTGGGAATGTTTCCCCTTATACTAACAGTCCGGAGTCCTTAATCGGGATTATAGAACCCCTATTATCATCCCTAGTAAGGAGCTGTTAGTCTAAGGGGGAACATCCCAACCCCGAACTCTAAAGCCCTCTTAAGCCCTAACTTCCAAAGTAGCCTGTAGCTCTGAGTGTAGTGTCACGGGCCCTTGATATGGTCCCGTAAAGGGTTCTGATGTATGGGCCCTGAGTTTTTACCGGGTATATGAAGTGTGTATAAATAGCACCCTTTTAAAGGCCCATACTACGGGACCGTGTAACTACCCTTAGAGTAGCCCGAAGCCTTCACGGAGGAGCCCATGAAGAGGAAGAAGAAGAAAAAGCAGAAGACCGACCTCATCGACGGTGAGGACCACTGCCACCTACAAAGGAAGGAATTAGGGTTTAGGGTTTAGGGTTTGGGGTGTAGGGTTTTTGGGGTACACCATGCAGTTTCCAAACTTTTTGGGGTGCGATGGCACAGTGCTGGCACGCTGAATGTCGCAAGAGAAGTAGTGCAGCGAAACCCAAACCCAAGTTCTAAAAACCCTTTTCGAAGGATTCAGTACGGATTTGGGGCGCGTCGGGGTCGAGGTTGCCCCCCTAAGCCAAACGCCAGGAACTGGAAGCTGCGCCGCCCGCGCAGGAGGCCGGTTGTGGGTTTCGAGTTTGGAGTTCGGCGGAGCTTAGGGTTGAGGGTTTACCCTGAAGCCAAAGCACGTGAACCCCAAACCCGACAGCCGAAACGCCACACCCCCCAAAACACCCAAATCCGCAAACCCCAAACCCCCAAAACACTCAAACCCCCAAAACACCCAAACCCCCAAACCCCCAAAACCCCAAACACCCAAACACCCAAAACCCCGAACCCTCAAAACCCCTAAACCCCCTAAACCCCCCTAAACCCCCTAAACCCTCAAACCCCCAAATTACCTGAAACCCGAAACCGGCTCGTGACGCCAGGCACCTCGACGGCGAAGAAAAGCCGCTGCCGAGGCCACCGATCGAGGGGGGGAGGGTTTAGGGCTTATAGGGTTTAGGGTTCAGGGTTTAGGGTTTAGGGTTTAGGATTTAGGAGGGCGGGGGGGGGGGGGGGGGTCCCTTTCTACGTACAGTTTTTTATGGGGTTATACCTACTAAGTAAGGGTAGTTGCTATCCCCCCTACCCGCCTGTGGTTCGTGGTCCATGGGTTTAGGGTCAGGCGGAAAAGTGCTTGGGGTTTTGAATGTGCTCTCCGTGGTTCATGGTGGGGGTAGGGGTTTAGGGCTATTTTGGGTTCGGGGTTTAGGGTCCCGCCTGGTGGTTCGTGGTGGGTTTACGTTTCAGGGTTTGGTGGTCAGGGTTCAGGTGGTTAAAGTTTCGGGCTGCCCCTCTTCCCTTCCTTGGTTCAAGGTGGGTTTAGGTGTTCGGGACTAGATTAAGGGCTGATGATTTTGATTACGGTTTCCCTCGCACCCCCTGTGGTTCGTGATGGTTTAGGGTTGAACTGTCAGGGTTTAGGGGGGTGGGGGAGAACTCTGAGGAGCCCTCAAATTCTGTCATCCTTAAATCTTAGGATTGTTCCCCTTATACTAAAATGGTTTAGGGTGTAGGGCTTAGGCTTCAGGATGTAGCGGTCCTTAGTCGGGATTGTAGTAGGGGGTCACCCACAAGAGATCTGGACCTCCAAGAGTGCTAACCCTGGGCCGAATGAACCCGAAACCCTAAACCTTAAACCCGAAACCCTGAGCCCTCATCTCGCCAGGAGGAGCCACAAGCGGAGCGGAAGCCCCGGAGGAAGAAGGCGGCCAGCAACAAGTAAGGAAAACTCGAAAGATAAAGCAAGGAAAGGAAACCCTAAACCCGCAAAGGTCAAGACGAGGGTGGAGGGCAATCCGGGGTGGGGCTCAACAAGTCGGGGCACTTTTTGTACCAGCGCGCTAAACCCTAACGTAAGAACCCTTTTCACAGATCCAGGAACCCCGCCTCCGAGCATGGCCCGAGGACTATCGGGGTCCGAGGCGTAGGAGTTTTATGTTGGGCTGAAAGGGTTCAGGGCTTCTTGGGGGTTTAGGGTTTGGGGCAGTTTAGGGTTTAGGGTTTGGGGTTTGGGGTTTAGGGTTTAGGGTTTAGGGTTTAGGGTTTAGGGTTTAGGGTGGAGGGGTTTAGCCGTAGGATCTTGTTGCGCTTCAAGAAGGCTTCAAGGTTCAAAGCCTTTTGGGGTTTCAAGGATTTAGGGGTTTCAGGGCGTATGGGGCTCAGGGTTTTTCAGGGCGTAGCGAAGTTCAGGGCAATGTGGGGTTTAGGATTTAGGGTGCTTGTGGGTTTAGGGCTTGCGGTTTTACAAGCTCGCAGCAGGCGGAGTCCCAACCTATACACAAGCTCAGAAGCCATGCTAGCCGTGGATGGCAGGCCAAACGTTTCCATCAGCTAGGTCATGTTGGCTCGCCCATCTAAAGAGATTCAATGCCAATACAATACATCAGTCATCATTTGGCTCCTTTACGGCCCCACACGACCATGCTAAAACCGACTTGATAGTGAACACTTGGGCCGTGTTGGGTCTTTGTCACTATATGCTGTGTTCCTCTTATATAGGGCGTTTCGATGATCGTGCAATATGACCCTTCTGGGGTGGATACTAGCAAGCCAACAAGGGCATATACCAGCTGAATTCTTGAAACGCCACATCAGACACATCGCGGCAGGACGCAGAGGACGACCAGGAGGACCCATAGGGTTTTGTGTTTTGAAGGTTTACAGTTGAGACCCCCGTAAACCTCATATAATATCCCTACAAGCCCTACTAAATTGCACTGCTACATTAAGAGGAGGAGATGGGCGCGACTTTTCATATTGCAATCCTGGTTCGAAACCATAGGCACATATTTTAGTAGTTTTGTCCCAGGATCATCTAGAGCATTTGGAAGCATCAAGATGGGTTTGGGGTTTAGGGTTTCAGCTTATTTTTGAAGGGGAAACCAGGCCCGTTAAAAATGTACTACATCTTCGACCAAGCGCCTGCCCTGACGGGCCTCCCATGCGCAATATGACTACTTGAAGGCTCAACCGAAAATTGTAGGATTTAGGGGTTTAGGGTTTGGGGTTTAGGACCCTAAACCTGTAAAAACGCCAGGAGCCTGAAGAGGAGGAGCCGGACGATCGCGAGGCCAGTGCAATGCCAGTGCCCCCCCCCCCTCCCCAATCCATTTCAACATGGTAGTTCCTGCCACCTAAACCCAAAACCCTGAGCCCTGAACCCTAAATCCTAAACCCTAAGCCCTAAACCCTCTGAGCCCTGAACCCTGAAAAATGGCAGGAGCGGCCCCACCGTCGGCGTCGAAAGCGGCGTGCCGATCGCGAGGTGGCTCTTTGGTGTTTGAAGGGAGGACCCCAAGTGGTGCGGGATTGTGATTTGGGTTGCCTTGTCCTTTTTGTTGGTAAGGGGGGGAGGGGGGGGGGGACTTAGGCCCTCTCAAGCACAAGCACACACACAATTTCATGGCACCAAATTGATGCCTTTTCATTTACGTTTGGTCCACGGGTTAGAGGTACCAAGGGTTTATTAGGAGGGGTTCAGATGTAGAATGCATAGTTCATGTTTTTTTGCGCGCGTTGGGTACTCGAGCAGTTTGTTCGGGGCTTGATTGGGTTGGAATAGAGTTTTTCACACTGGTTCAATGCATTTTCTGAAGCCTGACTGCTCAGAACATTCTGGTTTAGACTCTTCCGGTGCTGGGATTTGGGCGTTTACGAATATTAAATAGGAGACCCCGAGATAGATCCCCAAATAGTAGGATACCCTTAGACCCCAATAAGGTACCCCTTATTTTCGGAAACCCCATTTCTTTCGTTTTAGATGTTCTTTGCCTTGATGGCATGATATTTGTACGGCCTTTGGGAGTTTGCCAGCTTTCAGGGTTTCAAGGCACGTTGTTGAATTAGGGTTTACAGGGTTTACAGGGTTTACAGGATTTTACAGGGTTTACAGGGTTTACAGGGCTTACAGGGTTTACAGGGTTTACAGGGTTTACAGGGTTTACAGGGTTTACAGGGTTCACAGGGTTTACAGGGTTTACAGGGTTTACAGGGTTTAGAGGGTTTAGAGGGTTTAGGGTCTTGGGTTTAGAGTTTCGGGTTTACCCAAGCGCGAGAACGTGCAAAGCTCCGCAACCCCACAGAGCCATAAAGCCCCGGGATACCATTAACCAGGTTAAGTCCCCCCTTAAGTCCTAGAACCCTTAAAGCCCTGCAACCTTGCGAGCCCAGTGGTCAAGGTTCCCTCAAAAGAAACCAACCCCAGAAAAGGGTACCCTCATTACAGTATGTTTACTGTGCTAGTCTGGTCTGGGCTACCAAGCAACTCTCAAGCCCTCAACGGCCCTAAGCCCAAAATTCGCTAAACATCTCTTCGCCCTTAGCGCTCCACTAGGTTGCGTTTAGGATATTTTTAGTTTTCCTTATTTGGGTCTATAAGGGGCCCTGTGTACACATACAAAGGGTTGATGGGCCAACCCGCCTATGGACTGGCTACCGCCTTTCGTTGACATGAATCTTATTCCCGCATATAACCCCTATATATACCTTCTGTAGTCCCTCTATACCTAAGTAGACCCTAAAGAACCCCTAAAGAACTTCTAAGGTCCCCAGGGCTCCCTCCTAAAGTCCAGGCGTCAGACCCGCAGCGGGACAGTGAGCCTCGGCCCTGGACGGAAATGGCTTGCGATTGGCTTGCGATAAGGAATTTGTTCAGGGCAGGGGGTTCAGGGAGGTATAACTATGGGGTGCAGAGCGTTTTAAATGGGGGTTTAGGGGTTAGAATTTAGGCTGGTCCATCTTTACGGTTTGGGGCGGCGTATATTTGTTCTGGGGTGGGGGGGGGGGGGGCAGTCTAGCAAGGTACACGTGGTCACTGCTCCAAATTATGGCCCCTTTTGGGTTACCATTACTAAGGCTGCCCTTAGTATCTAGGGTACCCAAAGCGGGAGGGGGGGGGGGGGGGGGGGCAATTTGGAGATCCGACCACGCGCACCCGAAGAGTTGGGTTCGGGTTCCAACTTCGGTTTGGCATCGCCAGGTCACCTGCCCCACGGCGCAAGCGCCGAAGGGAGGCGTCGCAGGAGCCTGCCTAGCTGCAACCCTCAGCCCTACCTGGAGCTCCATGTACCTACTATCTTAGGGGTGATCCCCTTTAAGTTTGTTTTCCGAATTATAACCTACTATTTTGTAGGATTTGGGAGTCACCGGTAAGCCCAAAAAATTGCGGATGATGATGGGTAGTGAAGAGAGTCCAGGTTTGATTTTCCTTTGCCAGAAAAAGTGCTAGGGAGTGGTGCGGCAATCGCTCTTTTTATCCAAAACGCCGCCACTCTAAACCCTAAACCCTAAACCCTAAACCCTAAACCCTAAACCCTTGAACTGCTCTACCAGCTTGATCGGCTTTGTCGGCTTTACCGGCTTCCGGCCTTGCCCTGAGCAGGACCGCACAGACCGGCGGCGCCGAAAGAGCAAGGCAGCCTCAGCTTTCGTTCTCCCCCAGATTTTGGGGTTTAGGGTTTAGGGTTCAGTAGGGGTTTGGGGTTTAGGGTTTGGGGTTGAGGGTTTAGGGTTTAGGGGTAGGGGTTTTAGGGTTTAGGGTTAAGGTTTAGGGCAACCGAGTACGGATGTCCCCGAAGGCTCGGGTCGATATCGGGGGCACATACTGGAAAGGTTCAGGGGTATTCAAAAGTAGGCTGATAGGTACCCTGGATACAGTTGTAACCATAAGCTTCCCCAACTACAACCCTACTTATAAGTACCCATGAACCTACAAGTAAGGTACCTAATTGCCTGCTAAGAACCCCCCGCCTTTGCACTCAGCGCACTCCTTTTTGTTCTCCCTCCCTCCCCGCAGTCTCCTCGGGACCAGCGCAGCGCCGCGCAGCGAGCCGATCCACTCAGCCGGGAGGGGATCCCTTTTAGGACTTTCTAGGAGATTTCAGACCTGGGACATGTAGGACATTTAGGACATGCAGGACATATTGGACATTTAGGACATTTAGGACATTTAGGACATTTAGGACATTCAGGTTATTTAGGACATGTAGGACATGTAGGACATGTAGGGTTTAGGGTCCAGGGTTTAGGGCAGGGGCAGTGGGGACAATAAAGGGTATAAGTCTCATATTCGATGGCTCGAACCTCCACGACCTCCTGGAGACCTCAGAACCCATAAGGACAGCAAAAACTCCGAGTGAAACCCCAAGCTCATCAGAAACCTTTTTGATCTTCAGTGAACCTGAAAGGCCCCCCGTCTAGGGGGATTCCCGACATATGGTTCAGGGTTTCGGGTTGCAGGTACCCTTTGTGGCGGGGATTCCTAGAACAAAGGTGTTTTTTTTGCTTTTTGAGGGGGGGGTGGGGGAGTATAAGTGGCCGCCCTATTTTGAGGAATTCCCTTGCAATGGATGCAAACTAACCCACGCCAGGAAATGAGTTTTGACTCCGCAACCCCAGGATGCTCCAAACCATGAGAACCCTTTCTCTTCTGCGCGAACCTCACAGTTTGTAATCGTCCCTGCATTGCACTGCACAGCTGCCTCCTTAGCAAAGACTCCCGCAACCTTGTTCAGGCGATTCTGGAACGGTGCATTTCAGGCCCCACAAACGCATGGACCCCAAGAACTTGGGTTGGCGTTTAGGGCTTTGTAGGCCTTTGGAGGGTCTGAGAAACCAGGCCTGGGACCTTGCAAAGGCGGGCGGCGCTGCAGGGTGCTTGGCAGGGTAATCGGGCCCCTGTACAGGGTTTGCTTGGGCGCCCTTGCAACTTTCGTAGCCCTGAAGCCCTATATGCCTTAAGTCCTATAAGCGCAAAGCCTTGCTTGATAGCTTTAGGGCCTTTACATCCCGGAAGAAAACCTTCGAGCTACATGGGCCTCAAATCTCCCCCCCCCCCCCCCCCACCGCCCCTCACGTGTGTCAGCAATCCACCGGAGGGCGGTTTGCACGTTGTCACTAGTGGGCAGAGCTGTCACTACATGCATGCATACATTCATACCTACACATGAACATGAAACATATACGTGTTTGCATACACGCAATACACTACCGTGACATTACGCTATAGTACAGTGCATACGATGCATACGCTACATAAGGCACATACATCACATGCATTACATGCATTGCACCTATAGATACATGCACTACAATACATACGTTATACATGCACTACATGCAAGCAACCATTTCATACAGTACATGCACTACATACATTGCATACATTCGATACATTGCATGACATACATAGGCTACAAGCGTTAATTTGAGGGGGAATCGGGCTCAGGGTTGAGGTACTCTTGATGATCTAGGACACCAAGCCGTACTCCTATAGACCCATTTTTACGATTAGCAGCCCGTTTTCGAAATACAGTAAACAACAACGGACAATCTTCGCATTCTTAGGTTGCTGACATGGCAAGTTTGAAAAAACACCTGCAAAATAACACTGCAATCCTTCCCCTAAACCCCAAACCCCTAGACCCTAAACCCCTAAACCCCTAAACCCGTAAACCCGTAAACCCGTAAACCCTAAACCCCTAAACCCCTGAAGCCTCGGCCCGAAACTCCAGACTTTCCAGCACCCAGGCCAAAGCCTTCCTTAAGGATGGTGCCCCCGCCAAGGACTCCCCTGAGCCGGTTTAGGGTTCAGGGTTCAGGGTTTAGAGGGTTTAGGGTGGAGGGTTTAGGGTTGAGGGTTTGGGGTTAGGGTTCAGGGTTGAGGGTTTAGAGGGTTTAGGGTGGAGGGTTTAGGGTGGAGGGTTTGGTTTTTTTCAGCTTAGGATCTGCGTTGGGGCGGCTAGGCCGTTAGGACGGGACATTGTGAACACCCTGCCAGAGCGCTGAAGTCTTCAAACGAGAAAAAGTCCTCTCAACGAGCCCCACGCACACATGAAACTTCCGGAACCAAAGCACGCGAGATCACGGAGGAAAAAAAGAAAAACACATGGGGGTTCACGAATATGAGGGACCCTTAATATGGACCCCCCAACTAGTATCAACTAATGGGGTATCCTACTGAACCCTAAACCCTGAGCCTGCTACTAACGCCCTCCTGGGAGTTTAGCCCTACGAAGGCGCCTTGTCTTGGTTACTTAGATGAACCCTACTAGGGGTCTCTTGTCGTAGAGTGTCATATGACCCGAACTTCAGGATTTTTGGTTCCCAAGGCAGGGTCCACAAATCCAGTTGCACGCTGGCTCTGCAGTTCAATCCTACTTCTGTGTGCCAGGGCCCGCCGATGATGCCAACTGGACCTCTTGGGGTCGGGGGACTTGGAGGGGGGGTGGGGGTGGCTGCACCCATCGCCTCCAATGGAAGTATGGTTTATCTTTTGTAATTGTATAAACCCCAGGAACTAAGGGTACGAAGGAGAGTCTCGGAACACCTTGGATAGGGGTTTAGTCTGGGCTTTTGAAGGCACCCGCTGCTTTGAGTAGTCCAGGCTATCTCAGCATGTCAGGGCGGCTTAGGATGTTAGAAAACTCGGCTCTGCTGTTTTTACCTTGTGGGGGGTTTAGGACTCTGCTTACAAATTTCGGTATTTTGTTCCAGCATATACCCGTGTTCAGAATACCAGTCTGGGGCTCCAGGGAACCCTTTTGGCTCACGGCTTGGGGGAGTGGACGACTTCTTGCTGCCTTCGTGTTTCTGACCTGGCGCTTGGAACCAGACCCGTCAGAGACTAGGTATTCAGCGTATATGAGCTTCCCTTAACCCCCCAAGCCCCCGAGGAGGGAAAAAGGGTACTACTGAGCATCCTATATGGGTTTGGAAGATAAGATAAGAAGCTCATGAGAACGTGGGTGTCAGGCTAGGGGTTTGGATGCATATGACGCTAGTTTCCTGAGGTTGTCTTGCTTCAAACAAGCCAAAAGGAATATTTGAAAAGTGCGGGGAACCATGGTTAGTTAACTACTCCTTCTTTAGGGTACCTATATCCCTACTTCTAAGTTCCCATGAACCTTCAGGTATACCTTGATCCCTCAACCCTACACCCCAAAACCCAAACCCTCAACCCTAAACTCCACACCCTAAACCCTCAACCCTAAACTCCACACCCTAAACCCTAAACCCCAAACCCTAAAACCCCTTACAGGCAGGAAGAGGGCGTTGGCTAGTCTGGCTTCAGCAGCGGCCCTGCGCATGGCCCTGGCTAGGGCAAAAAAACAAACGACGGCCCTCAATTGCCCAGCATCTTGAGGGTCCTAACCCTAAACCCTAAACCCTAAACCCTAAACCCTAAACCCTAAACCCCCATTCGACTCCAGGCCCTCAAGTCCCCACAAAAACGCTTCCTGGAAAGTAAAGGCTTTCAAGTTGTTCATGCCTGTTTCCCTGGACCCTTTAATCACCGTAGACCTCTCCTAAAAGCCGTTTAGGGTTTAGGGTTTAGGGCCACTGAGAGCGTGAGAATCCCGAAGGGCCTCAAGTCAAGTCATGCTTAAGCCCTGAAATCAAGTCATCCCTTAAACCTCGAGACCGTAAACCCTCGCAGGGTTTAGGTTCGGGGTTGGGGCTTGTAGGGTTTCTTGTCTTTACAGGGGTTCTGGAAGTTATAGGGCTCCCCTAAACGGGCTTAGGTTTATAGCAATCAAGTCATGGAGACAACGCCGCAGCCTGATGGGCGGCGGTACCTTTGCCGCAGTGCCACCCCGCTGCGCGCATCGGCAGGAGGCGCGGAGCGGGTGCAGGTGCCCGGTTGAGGATTTCAGGGTTTAGGGGTGCAGGTTTTTTGTTCTTCTGAGTCCTGACTCAACTCCTGATTTTACAGGGCTTTAGGCCGCAAACTGGGCTTGTTTCCTTTTTGTAGGGGGTGTACCTCTTTACCCGTAGTTTTATGGGTTATACCTACTAACTAAGGATAGTTCCTACTAAACTGTAGGTAAATAGAGTCCCACCTGCGGGGGGGAGGGCCTTATGAGACCCTCGAAGCCCTCAACCCCCCCGAGGCTCGCTGAGGACGAGGTCGCACATGCATCTTTGAACTGTTGGAAAGGCCATGAATCGAAATCTCTCCCCCTCCCAGGTGTTTAGGGTTTAGGAGTTTAGGGTTTAGGGGTTTAGGGTTTAGGGTTAGGGTTTAGGGTTTAGGGTTTAGGGTTTAGGGTTTAGGGTTTAGGGTTTAGGGTTTAGGGTTTAGGGTTGTGAAAACATCCCCAGAAATGCTTGCCCAAATCCAGGGTTTAGGGTTCATGGTTTCGGGTTCTCCTACACAAAGCCCAGGACTTGCAAGGCCTTCCCCCAAAAGCTGAACAGATATCATGGGCTTCGGGCGAGAACCTGCCTTTTTAGGGGTTCCTTCTGATGATTTCCTTTCGTATCCCCGTAAACAGGTAGGCTACAGGTAGGGTTTAGGGCTTAGGGTATAGGGGCCGCTCTAAATGCAAAAAGAACATTCTGGCTATCAGTCGGGACTTGGGTATCTCACCACTTGTAACATCGAATCTATTACCAATGATCGTTCTTGTAGTAAATGATGGTCACGCAAAACTAAATTGGAATGAGACTTCGGGGGGGGAATATAAACAGGTGATTGAGGTAAAAACCTGCAAGCCCATAAAACCCTCAAAATGCTAAACGACCCGTAACATCCTGAACAACCTAGAACCCCCAAAAAAAGAAAAGGGCAAGGACTCGATAAGACATCGAAAAGGCTCCAAAACCCCTCGAATCTGCGCGCAGATTCTACTGGGGCCGGGGCGCACTGTGGCGGAATCTCAGGGTAAGCAAGGCCGGACTCACTAGGGCTTAGGTTTAGGGCTTAGGGGTTCTTAGGGGTTCACAGGCCGCTTGGGAGAAGATTCGTGACCTTAGCACCTGGGAACCTCCGAACAGGGGGGGGGGGGGGGGGTACTTGGAGGCTCATGGGTACTTAGTACCCTTATTGAGGTTATAACCCCCGTTGCCTTACATATCATCCTCCTTTTGGTTGCCCACGAACCTCCAAGTACCTTTTGTTGCTGTTTGGGGGGGGGGGGGTTCCTATCCTCCGGATTCAAGCATGTTGTTTCTTTAACTTGGGGTTTTGGGAAGATGACCCCCCCCACATCGAGATGTGTATGAGGATGTATGGGCATGGGGAGTAAGGGTCTCAGGGTTTAAGGGCATTCTGTGGAGGAGGTCTTTGGCTTCCTTGATTTTGGGTTGTGTTTCGGGCGAAGCCAACAAGGCTATGCGTGAAAGCGCTGGGGGGTGGCAGGGTTCACAGTTCAGCCTTCGCCAACACAAGTGGAGTGGCATGTTGATTGTTGTGCGCAGTATCGTACGGTTGCATAGATTGGGCCCAGATGAGTAGCCGAGTAGCCAGGTATTGCAAGAGTCGACGCCTGTCCCGATCCTGTCATGACGCCAACAATGGCGTTCGCTGTTCTCAGCACGAGCCTTCTTCTTGCGCCAGTTGTGGAATCGGTGCAATGTTGCCTTGAAAGCCTTACCCTCACCACGCACGAGTACTCCTCAAATGGCTATCATCACGAGAGCATCACCAACTTTTATGCAGCGGAGGTGGTGAACTGCTCAGGCACAATTTGCAACTCCACGTCTTCATGCCCTACGCCCCACATCAACGACGGCATGGGCTTCACAGTTTACCCAGACCAGGGGACCCAGGTTGTACCATACAACCACACATGTTGGACAAAGAGCCTCATGTGCACGACGATGATAGGACGGCGTTGCACGACATCTTCGGGTGCTTCCAGCCCAAGAGCAAGAGCAGATGTGACCAACTCCAGCAACCTCACGTTGTTCCCATGAGTGAGGACACCAAGTGCAAGTGCTGATCAAAGGCTTCTCGATCTAATGCCAGTGTAGAGGTGTTGCGAGGTAGATAGGAACTTGCTGTTGGCACAGAAGGACATGAAAGAATAGCAACGACAGCAACCCGAATACTAACAACACAACTAAAGACAGTATCACAAACAATCGTACCACTAGAAAAGCAAACAGTAAGCATAAGAACGTTTTCTGCTCCACTCCTTCATTTCCCTACGAGCCAACGGCGAGGGAAATGTCGAAAGACCGGCCAAAATCCTGGGTGAAAACAGCCCAGGCGTCCCCAAAGCCTTGGCCGACATTACAGCAGCTACAGAGCGAAAAGATTCGGGTAACATCTTATCTCCCCTTAGCCTGCGGTCCACCAAAATTTGGGGCGTAGGGTTGAAGGTGCTACCCGAAACCTTCAAGACCCTAACTTCAAATGGCCCTGAGTCAACAGTCTGAGGATAGGGGGTTAGCAGCAATTCGAAGTATACTTTTGGATGTTCCCCCGTATACTAACAGTCCTTAATAGGGATTACAATAGGCGGGGGGGGGTTACTAGAATCCCCATTAAGCGCTGTTAGTATAAGGGAAGAAAATCCCGAAGCATACGGTAAAAGATCCCAATTCTGCAGTCTCCACAGGCCTCTGCTTTTAACCTGTTCCCTGAAACCGAACTCGCGGAGCGGAAAACCAGGCTTTAGGGTTTACCATGGAGTCTGGCCGCATTGCGTCCCTTTCGTGTTACAATCAGGATTCCTTATGCAGGGCCCCGGTAACACAAGAAAGTACACTTCTTTCTGCCTAGGCTTCTCGGCCTAGTTTAGGGTTTGGGCCTGACCCATTAGATACACTAGCCTTATACACGCCTATCAGGTAAGTTCTTCAAAGATGGTTCAAGCCCACCTTTGTGGCAGGTCATCGGGGAAATCTACTGAGCCGGGAACTCCTAGAACACTCCACCCACTAAACCCCCAACTTTGAACACTAAACCCTAAACCCTAAACCCTAAACCCTAGACCTAAACCCTAAACCCTAAACCCTAAACCCTAAACAACCCCTGAAGCCCCTCAAACCTTGAGTTTATCTCAGGGACTTTCTCGGCCGCGGATCCCTTCATCCTCGCCTTTACGGCTGCCGTTTGAGGCCTAAGGGAGGTGGATGATGGGTTTCCGTACTACCCCCCTCTACCTGGGTTCCCTAAATAGCCTTTATTATGGGCGGAACCTAGGAGAAGTTATGGAGGGGGGGCAGTAGGGGAGCCCATGAGTGGATTAGGATTTAGAGGAACCTAGGGCAGTAGGGGATCCCATGAGTGGATTAGGATTTAGAGAGTCTGGGTTTATAGGGGTCCAAGGAGGCTTCATAGGGGTTCTATGAGACTGCGGGCTCTGATTGTCGAGGGCTTTCAGTTTATTGGTCAAAAACCCTGGCCCTGCAAACTCTTGTAGTCGAATATCGCAACACCCTGCTTACATAGCCGAAAGAGAAGATTGGTTCCAA